CCTTCCTCTCTCACCCTGACAGAAAATATAACATCTGGAGGGACCAGACAAGCTATGAACCGCAATCACTTTCATTATTTTAAAATAAAAAAAGGAGCTGAGGATTTGCTATTTTTCATTAAACGATGATAACAAGAAGTTAAAATGTTATATTCATATTAGTAATCCTTTGAGTATTTTGTGGTGAGCACATAAACTCTAGGAATTAAAGACACTGGCAAGTGCTAAGGTAGAACATTACTTGGGATAAGAAGCATAGACTGAAGCCATGTATTTGGTGTCATTCTAATTACAGCAATGGATGTGCTTTTCATTGCTCCTGAGGGAAAACAATCTGAGGTGGTAAATCCCTTTGTTATTTTACTTTGCCTGAACAACAGTAGCCTATCTGTGCTTTTTATTAGACTTTTATATAGTATTCATCTTGTCCTATTTTCTCTCTAAAAACAATGGGCCATCCCCTTCATCTCAATATACCTAAGGACTTGTTGTTTACTGATGAAGCATTGTTTTAGACATTTGAAGGAAAGCTGATTTAATCAGTGCAGATTCTCATTATATAAAACTCTCAAACAATAACTTACTGTACTGTAACCTATAAAAGAGATGAAGCCATTGCCATCGTGCGTAACCTCAAATTATCTCTTTGAAATAATTGTTGAGGACAATAATAGGGCGTCAGGTAGCTTAGTGGGTAAGCGCGTTGTGCCAGTAACCGAAAGGTCGCTGGTTCTGATCCCCGAGCCGACTAGGTGAAAAATCTGTCGATGTGCCCTTGAGCAAGGCACTTAACCCTAATTGCTCCTGTAAGTCGCTCTGGATAAGAGCGTCTGCTAAATGACGTAAATGTAATAACAACAAAATCTGATGTGATTTGTGCTTTGCTCACACTGTATGGAATCACCTTCTTCTGCACCTTCCAACATCCTGATCCTTTTTTGGGCTTATCACAGTCAAAATCCCCCCCAGTCTCAGAGGTGACTCCCAAACAGCCCTGAACTGAAAGTCGATCTTGACAACAGTGAACTAACTAAGGTCCCTTTTTGTATACAGTACTGGGAATGGAAATCCTTTCACAATTGTCGCCCATCATAATACTTAGTTATCCATAAGGCTATGATAGGAAAAGAGCAGTTCAATGCAAACATCAGGATTAAACTGTACTATGTCATTGTCATGCTATATGTCATCCTATTATTCATCATATGTCTGAATAATTATGTACATGTATTCCTGACCAAGAAGCAGATAACATTTCTATTGTTGTGTCAAATAAACAGCTGAACAGTTGGCTAGAGCATACTGCTTATATCATTGATGCAGCCAGATGTTAGGGCTGTTGTTTGGGTTGAATTTCGTCCTGTGTGTGTGTTTGGGTGTGTGTGTGTTTTGGGGTGTGTGTGTCTCTCTCGCTCTCTCTCTGTCTGTCTGTCTTTCGGTCTGTCTGGTGAGGGGACTCCCCAAAAACATGCCACTTTGCCCAAAGTGATTTTCGTAGCAGGTTAGGAAAGCATTTTCAAAAACCCTAACCCTTTTCCTAATCTTAACCTAATTCTCCCAACTTGCTAATTTAATTATCCTAACCTGCTGCATAAGTTCTCCTAACTTGCTACGAAAAAGTCACTTTCGGTAATAGCTGTATAGAAATTGCGTGTTTTTAGATAGTCCCATCTGGTGAGTGGGGTGGGCAGAAGTGTGAAGAAGGTCACAAGAGAACGGAATGTGTAGTATTGGGGAAAGAAGCATTATGTGTTAATTGCAGTGGTGGAAAAAGTACCCATTGTCATATTTTTATTTTTTATTTTTATTTAACCTTTATTTAACCAGGTAAGCCAGTTGAGAACAAATTCTCATTTACAACTGCGACCTGGCCAAGATAAAGCAAAGCAGTGCGATAAAAACAACAACACAGAGTTACATATGGGGTAAAAAAACATAAAGTCAAAAAATACAACAGAAAATATATATACAGTGTGTGCAAATGTAGCAAGTTATGGAGGTAAGGCAATAAATAGGCTATAGTGCAAAATAATTACAATTAGTGTTAACACTGGAATGCTAGATGTGCAAGAGATTATGTGCAAATAGAGATACTGGGGTGCAAAAGAGCAAAATAAATAACAATATAGGGATGAGGTAGTTGGGTGGGCTAATTTCAGATGGGCTGTGTACAGGTGCAGTGATCGGTAAGGTGCTCTGACAACTGATGCTTAAAGTTAGTGAGGGAGATAAGAGTCTCCAGCTTCAGAGATGTTTGCAATTTGTTCCAGTCATTGGCAGCAGAGAACTGGAAGGAATGGCGGCCAAAGGAGGTGTTGGCTTTGGGAATGACCAGTGAGATATACCTGCTGGAGCGCAGACTACGGGTGGGTGCTGCTATGGTGACCAATGAGCTAAGATAAGGCGGGGATTTGCCTAGCAGTGATTTATAGATGGCCTGGAGCCAGTGGGTTTGACGACGAACATGTAGTGAGGACCAGCCAACAAGAGCGTACAGGTCACAGTGGTGGGTAGTGTATGGGGCTTTGGAGACAAAACGGATGGCACTGTGATAGACTACATCCAATTTGCTGAGTAGAGTGTTGGAGGCTATTTTGTAAATGACATCGCCGAAGTCAAGGATCGGTAGGATAGTCCGTTTTACGAGGGCATGTTTGGCAGCATGAGTGAAGGAGGCTTTGTTGCGAAATAGGAAGCCGATTCTAGATTTAACTTTGGATTGGAGATTCTTAATGTGAGTCTGGAAGGAGAGTTTACAGTCTAACCAGACACCTAGGTATTTGTAGTTGTCCACATACTCTAGGTCAGACCCGTCGAGAGTGGTGATTCTAGTCGGGTGGGCGGGTGCCAGAAGGGTTCGATTGAAGAGCATGCATTTAGTTTTACTAGTGTTTAAGAGCAGTTGGAGGCTACTGAAGGAGTGTTGTATGGCATTGAAGCTCGTTTGGAGGTTTGTTAACACAGTGTCCAATGAAGGGCCAGATGTATACAAAATGGTGTCGTCTGCGTAGAGGTGGATCTGAGAGTCACCAGCAGCAAGAGCGACATCATTGATATACACGGAGAAAAGAGTCGGCCCAAGAATTGAACCCTGTGGCACCCCCATAGAGACTGCCATAGGTCCAGACAACAGGCCCTCCGATTTGACACATTGAACTCTATCTGAGAAGTAGTTGGTGAACCAGGCGAGGCAGTCATTTGAGAAACTTAGTCTGCCAATAAGAATGCGGTGGTTGACAGAGTCAAAAGCCTTGGCCAGGTCGATGAAGACGGCTGCACAGTACTGTCTATTATCGATCGCGGTTATAATATCGTTTAGGACCTTGAGCGTGGCTGAAGTGCACCCATGACCAGCTCGGAAACCGGATTGCATAGTGGAGAAGGTACGGTGGGATTCGAAATGGTCGGTGATCTGTTTGTTAACTTGGCTTTCAAAAACTTTCGAAAGGCAGGGCAGGATGGATATAGGTCTGTAACAGTTTGGATCTAGAGTATCACCCCCTTTGAAGAGGGGGATGACCGCGGCAGATTTCCAATCTCTGGGGATCTCAGACGTTACGAAAGAGAGGTTGAACAGGCTAGTAATAGGGGTTGCGACAATTTCGGCGGCTAGTTTTAGAAAGAAAGGGTCCAGATTGTCTAGCCCAGCTGATTTGTAGGGGTCCAGATTTTGCAGCTCTTTCAGAACATCAATTGTCTGAATTTGTGTGAAGGAGAAGCGGGGGGGGGCATGGGCAAGTTGCAGCGGAGGGTGCAGAGTTGGTGGCCGGGGTAGTGGTAGCCAGGTGGAAAGCATGGCCAGCCGTAGCAAAATGCTTGTTGAAATTCTCGATTATTGTAGATTTATCGGTGGTGATAGTGTTTCCTAGTCATACTTGAGTAAAAGTAAAGAGACCTTAATAGAAAATGACTCAAGTAAAAGTGAAAGTCACCCATAAAAATCCTACTTGAGTAAAAGTCTAAAAGTATTTGGTTTTAAATATGCTTAAGTATCAAAAGTAAAAGAGAAAGTATAATAATTTCAAATTCATTATATTAAGCAAATCAGAATGCACCATTTTCTTGTTTTAAAAAAATGTAAGGATGGCCAGGGGCACGCTACAACACTCAGACATAATTTACAAAGGAAGCATGTGTTTAGTGGGTCCCCCAGATCAGAGGCAGTAGGGATGCCCAGGGATGTTCTCTTGATAAGTGTGTGAATTAGACCATTTTCCAGTCCTGCTAAGCATTCAAAATGGAACGACTACATTTGGGTGTCAGGGAAAATGTATGGAGTAAAAAGTACATAATTTTATTTATTTTTACCTAAGTACTTTACACCACTGGTTAATTGTAGGGGTACCCATGGGGCTGGGGATCAGAAGTGTCAGGTGCGGGAGAGGCAGGTTGAGGGTACCAGGGTTAGAGTAGTGTACAGGGTGTCCATATGCTGAGGCAGTGAAGAAAGTAGAGGAAGATGGGTCAATGGGGAGGGATCCTGAGAGGATTCATGTGAGTAGTAGATCTGTGCCAGTACAGAGGGATAGGCCAACGAGTGATATTAAGATTGGCTTTTTAGCGTTCATAGCAACGGTTATCAACTGTACCGCAAAAAAATAGAGGTTGTGGTTGCAGATGCAGGTAAGTATTGGGTGTACGAGATTTGACATCAGAAGAGTTACAGGGTATGTTGAGTGGTGGTGTCCCGTCCTTCCAAGCTGTTGGCCTGAGCTAGGACTAGATAGGTTTAAATATTGGAATAGGGGTAGATGACAAGGTATTTGTTTTATTTTTTCCCGTTTCCCTTTTTACTCTCAAAGTATAAGGGATTTATACCCCAGTCTAGTTGGTGGCGGTAATGAAACATTTATTGGATGCCAACGGCCGTTAAACCTCGAAAAAGAAGAAGAAGAAGAAGAAGAAGAAGAAGAAGAAGAAGAAGACTTGATTGGGAGTTGATGGGTAGGCTGAGTTTGACTGTTTTTTCACGCCCACTCAAGACACCCACTTTTTGTAAAGTGCAAACTCCGTCTATCCTAGTTGGAGCGCACGCCCTCACATCTTGTTGTGGTTATTCTTTGCTAGCCTCAAATGTTAGCTAGCTAGCTATCATTGTTCCTCACTGGGAACGACACATTTAGACAGCGTTTTTATATAAACAAATTGCTATACTTACTATCGAAGATTAATAAGACAGCCGATTGATTCAAATGATAGCCCTTCTCTCTATTCAAAGGTACAGTAGGTAAGTTAGCTAGCTAGCTAGATTGGTAAATCTTATGTAGCTAGCTAAAAAATTTCCACTAACGTTATTTCTGACATTCGCTACAGTAGCTAGCTAGCCATCCCATATATGAATGTATCTAGCGTATGTTATGCCAGCTAGCTTGTATTCATGTTTTCATGGCAACCTTGCTGCGCTAACGTTGCTTGCTAGGTTACTAACGTTAGCTAGCCATCATTGTTTACATTTCTTAGTCAAGGTTACTTCGTTTATACAACATGTAGTGTAGCTATGCAATTTTATTGACCTGACTACGAACTTAGTCACCCACGGATGACTGACACACCAAGGCAGCCAGCTCTCTTTGACAGCATTCGAAAACATACCTAGCAAACCTGTTGACAACAATACATTACTGATGTAAGGTAGGTTTTCGAGGGAGTTTGTATAATTTTTTATTGTGGTTTCTACAACATGAGGTTTTACATGGTATTCTACATGAAGTTGATCAATATGGTAGTAATAGGCCTGGCACTGGTGTTTATTCAACTGCTGTAGTTATATTGAGTACCGGTAAATATGATCTCCTGCAAGCGGCATTTCTTTTGTGGCAGACATATATGACTCAAGCTGCCTCTTTGATCTTGTCCTATAGGATGACACGGAAGCTAACTGCAGCCCCGGAAAGATGACCTGCACCGCCCTAGGGCATGGTCAGGATGGGGCCAGATGTGCCCTTGCTCAATGAATACAAGCAGGAGTTCTTCTGGAAGCGCTTCCCTCAGACGGTGCTTGGGGGTCCGCACTTCAAGTTGGGCTACTGCGCCCCGCCTTATGTCTATGTCAACCAGGCGGTCTTGTTCTTGACACCATGGTTGTTGGGTGGCATTGGCACGCTGCTGTGCCAGCTGCAGCTGCTGGAGGAGCTCCACGCTGCCGTGCTGTCTGGTATGCTCATGCTGGGAGCAGCAGTGGGTGTCCAGGCCCTGGCGCTGTATGCTGCCCGCAGGAATGGCACGGTGGAGAGGTTGGGAGTGCCCAACATCCTGGCTAACGAGGAGGAGGTGGAGTTCACCCACTGTGTAGGCCCAGAGACGGTGAGGTTCATCGCCCCGGGGAAGAGGTTTGGGCTGAACGTGGTGCTCCACACCATGCTGGCGGGGGCCCTCTGTGGCCTGGGGACATGGTATGTGCTCCTCGGCAGGTTGACTGCACTCTACGGCAGTGTGGGTGTAGCCTTGGTGGTCTTTGTCCTGAGCTGGGTGACCCTGTGTACGGCAGAGTACTCCCTTATCGTCAACACGGCCACAGAGACGGCCACATTCCAGGCACAGGACACCTATGAGATCACCCCACTCATGCGACCACTCTACATATTAACTTTCATAGCTGTGGACCTTGCTGATAGGTAAGAAATAACTAAATTGGTCTCAATGACTGTTTTGAAACGTATTATGGATATATTTTGATAGGATAGGATTGTTCACATTTTGTGACTCTTTGCTTCTTGTTTTTTCAATGCTTGTGTCCAGATTTACAGATCCAGTGCCAGAGCTCCAGCTAACCAGTCAGGTTCTTCATGTGGTGTTCCTGGTCCTACCTCTGCTGTGGGCGCTGGGCATGCTGTCACCCCTGGATGCCCTCCTCCTTTGGGGCATGGAGCAGGCTCTGGTGTTCGGTTTGGGCGGCTCTCCCATGTCCAGTAACCTTAGGTATATTTAGCTTACTACATCAATTGTTTTTTGTCAACGTTTAGATGCTGTCTGATTATACTTAAGTTACTGATGTAGTTCCCTGAGCTCTTTACCATATGCCTGTTTCCTTGGCCTGTGTGAGCTCCTCTGACTCTGTGCTCTCTGTCCTTCCTAAAGGTTGCTGGGGATGTTCGCCATGTCTGTATGTGTCACTGTTTGTACCTTCTTCATCCCGTCCACCTTGGGTGTGGTCTTCTTCTCCATGGCCATGGGGTTTCTGCTTAGTTTAGATCTCAGCCAATTTGGGGCACATTGTAGAGGAGGGTCCAGGGGGGCCCACGGTGACAGTGGATGGCGTAGGGGGACATCCCCTGCCCCTCCCCGCTGGTTTGGCTGGCAACTGGGCTGCAGGGAGATGCTGCTCTACCTGGGGCTGCTGCTGGGGGCCATGGCTGAGGCAGGGCTCTTACATCACTTCCTCAGTCCCTCCCAGCCCCAGAACCTGGCCAGAGGACCTCAAGCTGCTGTCAGCTACCTCCTCCTCATCCTCTTCATCATCTGCTGGGCTCTGGGAGAGATCCAGGGAGCCTATGTCTTTGGAGGAGTGTTCCTCAACCCACTGTACCCAAGAGGAATGGCCAATGTCCGGGTGTTCAAGCAGCAGGGCAGGGGTCTCCACGTGGCTGGGGCCATCAGGAGGGTGCTGCTCAATCTGGGTGAGCTCACCTTGCAATATAGTATTGCTTTGTCATTACTGAAACATACTATTCATGCATCTTAATACATTATATTTAACAGTGACTTTGTATTTTACATTGCAGTATCTCCCTTTGCAATGATTGCTTTCCTGACGCTGGATGGCTCTGTTCAGCAGCTCCACACAGCCTCTCTCAGTGTGGGATTCACCCGGGCCTTCAGAGTGGTACACATGGATTATTTTATGGATAACCTAAGCATGTACTATATATCAATCAACCAGAGTTTCTCTCCAGTGACCTCATGACCATTCATCCTCAGACTGTTATCAATATGATTTAGGTAATGTTGATTTGAGTTGTGGGTCTCTGTGTTGTGCAGGTGTGGCAGAGCTCTGAGGAGGCCCTGTTCCAGATGGTGGTGGTGGTGTCAGTGAGGCTGGCTGCAGGGGACACCAGACTGCCTGGGTGGGACAGTCTGGGCATAGGGGTCCAGCTCCTTCTGGTAACAACACATTTCAGCATTCATGACATAGGCATGATATTTTTCTGGAAAAATATTTAAAGTTAAACATTGAAATTGAAGTCCTGGTTAAATCCCAAAAGCACAACGTTTTTGTCTTTCACTGGCCAACCCAGGTGGGCCTGCTGAGTGATAGGCTACTCCAGTTCCTGTCCAAGCTGAAGTTTGCCCTGGCCGTGCTGGTGACCTCCTGGACAGAGAAGAAACAGCGGCGCCAGTCGGCCGGGACCCTTCTGGCCCTGAACGCCTCCCTGTGTCCTCTGCTGCTCTCTGTGGTGTTCCTGTCAGCCATGCTCTCTGCTCCTCTGCTGCCCCTCTTCACCCTTCCCATCTTCCTGGTGGGCTTCCCCAGGCCTCAGCGTAGTTGGCCTGGGCCAGTGGGCACCGCCTGCCCCTGTCCAGACTCCATCTATTACCAGCAGATGAGTGGGAGCCTGGCCTGTGCTCTGAGGAGCGCCTTCGCCAGGGGATCACTTGGTTAGTGGGTCTCATTCTTTAGTTTTCTCCCTCTCAGTTTCTCTCTATATGTTTCTTCTTTTCCTTTTCTTCCATTCATTGGTGAACAGTGTTTTCCACTAGCGCTGGCTGTCGGCTAAACAGCCGATTACAGACTCATTTTCAGCCGGCTACTTTTTCCACTTGAATTAACTAGGCTACTTTTCAATTCGCTAGTCAGAAAAAAAAGTCAGACGAGCTACAATGAACGATATGCATCTTCTAGCAATCTCTATTGATAGGACAGGCGCCTGTCAGTCACAAAGCGAGCGACAACAGGGAAACAATGCTGGTTTGACAGTCTGCTGTGGGCAGTGTGATTTGTGTGCGCTGTGGTTCGGTTGGTTGCCGTCAAATGTATTTACACGGAGGAAGGGGAGAGCATTATGCTTTGAGTGAATTTCAGGGCTCTACAATGTGACCATTATACTCATATATGCTCCTAAAAGTAGATGTGTGTGAACCGAAAAAGTAGGTTAAACTATGAGCACGTGCGAGTTGTTGTCGAGGCACAGATCTGGGGAAGGGTTCCCAAACATTTCTGCAGCATTGAAGGTCTGTGGAGATGGGAGAACCTTCCAGAAAGACAACCATCTCTGCAGCACTCCACCAATCAGGCCTTTATGGTGGAGTGGCCAGACGGAAGCCACTCCTCAGTAAAAGGCACATGACAGCCCGCTTGGAGTTAGCCAAAAAGCACTTAAAGGACTCTGACCATGAGAAACAAAATTCTCTGGTCGGATGAAACCAAGATCGAACTCTTTGGTCTGAATGCCAAGCATCACATCTGGAGGAAACCAGGCACCGCTCATCACCTGGCCAATAACATCCCTACGGCAAAGCATGGTGGTGGCAGCATCAGAGCGCTCCGGACCTCAGACTGGGGCGAAGGTTCACCTTCCAACAAGACTTAGACCCTAAGCACACATAGGAATGCCAAGCTTGTGGTGTAATACCCAAGAAGACTTGATGCTGTAATCGCTACAAAAGGTGCTTCAACAAAGTACTGCATAAAGGGTCTGAATATTTATGTAAATGTTATATTTCAGTTTTTTTTATTTTATAAATTTGCCCAAAAATCTAAAAACCTGTTTATGCTTTGTCATTATGGGGTATTGTGGGTAGATTTATGATTTTTTTTTTAAATCAGTGCAGTTTAGAATAAGGCCGTAACGTAACAAAATGTGGAAAAAGTGAAGTGGTCTGAATACTTTCCGAATGCACTGTAGTTCGGCAAACACTTCGAACCGGGGAGGCCTGGCTGGTTACTTTTTCTATTTGGCTGGCGACTCCAGGTACTTGTGGAAAACACTGGGTGAAGTGAAAGTACTTTGATATAACTGTTTAATAATTTATAGACATTACTTTGTGTGAAAGTAATGTAGCTTATGCAATTGTATGCAATCCTTAAAGTTTCTTTGGGGACATAATATATCATGGAACATAATGTAATAATATAACTAATGAACTATAAGTGGGTGTGTGGGGACCGCATTCAGGGTCATTAAAGATGTACAATGTATGAAATGATAATGGTGAGGTAAACATTACATTTGCACCGGCAGTAACGTTGTCAGACTCCCTTATTGTTTTTTTACCCAATAAATTACTGTGAGTTTATACATAGTGTGCAATCAATTTATTTATTTTTATACTTCCTTATTCACCCACACTTTACAGTATACATTACATACTGCATTAGGTGTTGGGCATATGTTTTCAGTTAACTCTTTCCCCTATTGTTGGGAGAAGAAGCCATTCATTTTCCAACCACTAGCAGTAAGAACAGAACACCGTAGTGCACTCAGGGTGTTAATAGAGCGCCAGCTCCGTGTGCTCATGTTTTTTTTAACTTACTTTGTATGTTGATTCATAATCGCAGTCCGCTGTGAACTTTTAGATTGGTCGAACAGGGACTATATGCAGATGAAAGAGCCGGGTGGGGGGAGCCTCTTATGGTTTCATATTAAGAGGAATGTTGTTGTTGTTGTCGCTCAGTAGAGCCACTGGCAGTAATGTAAGCTTGCAGGATCCAGTTGTGCTTCCCGAGAAGTGACCTGAACAAAATCGCTCTGATCTGTATTCATTACATCCAAATGTTTCCACACCATTAACCTCATAATACTCTTAAGCCAGCTGGAGCCGCTTCAAAAAATTGGTTCAGTGCTCTATTTGCTGTCAGGAGGGGGCAAGGAAAAGACTGAGCAAGTACAAGCTTAATTATTTATGGATTGACGACTCAAAACAGACAGAAAAAACTGCTATAGTGATGTCATCACTCCAACTTATTGTTTTCTTGGCTAGCTGGGGGTGCCTGAGCTGTGATCTATCATTTAGGCTAAGTGCTTGTTGGGCATGATATACCCAGCAGAAAGAGAGGAGAGTTTGTAATGTAGTGTTCTGTTTTTTTCCTTTGCCCCCTCTGTGACATTGGGGGCTGTGCATCAGTGAGCATTGAGCGGGAGCGGAGAACGCACAGCGTGTCATTTCCCATCACGAGGCGGCGTCTGTGACTATTCCGAGACGCCGCTTTAGGATATGACATTATCCTTGAGCCATGAGAACACTAGTCAAACTTGAAACGAAAGCAACCATCGCTCTGCCACTACCATTTCACTAAAAACGTCTGTCCGCTCTCCCCTCTGTCGAACAAAAATGAAAGGCCCCCCTTGTACAAATTCCCCAAGTCTACTCCCATGAGAGGAATTCATGTTTAGAGACTAATGGAAAGCCGAGGAAGAGAAGGAATTCAATATTTAGATCTCTGTGCAGTCAGCCAGTTTAAACTGTATCATGACCTTCCTCTACAACTGAAATGGTAAGTTCATCCGACAGCCAAGTTATCCACAGCCGAAAGACTCACTACTGATGCAAAATGAAAGGGTTGTGTGACCAGGGGGAACTTATCTATGTATATGATGTATGTACTCCAAGCTTTCTCATCTCCAGACCACAGAGGACAGCATCTCTCTTGACTGCATGTCCTATAATAATAATTTACCACTGGGATGACTGTGACCAAATATAACACCCAAATATAACACCACTCAAAGGCTGCGATGAGAATATGCTATGAATCGAGACGAGGTGTAATGGAATCGGCCTTATCAGAAATCTTAGCTGCGGATAAGTGAATGAAGAAGCTGATAGGCCTACATTTGTTTTCTTTCCTCCCCTCTGAAGGTTCTCTGGCTCCTGGCTCCCACTTCCTGGGTCGCTTCCAGGACCGAATGGTTTGGATCATGATCTTGGAGAGAGGATATGGCTACTGCACTGTCAACATCAAGGTACTGGTTCATTAATGGTTGTTATGTGTTTGAATCACTCATTTGTGGTGAACTCATTTGACCGTTTTGTTTCAGGGTCTGGAGCTGCAGGAGACATCGTGCCACACGGTGGAGGCTCGGAGAGTGGATGAGGTGTTTGAGGGGGCCTTTGAGCGCCCTGAGTGGCTTGGTCTCAACCAGGGGTTAAACCTGCACTGGGGTAACGCCCTCACCCCATGTGCTGCCCTGCCTGTGCGTGTCTACTCCGACGCCCGCAATGTGCTTTCGGGCATCATTGACTCGCATGACAACCTGAGGAAGCTCCAGGCTGACTTCCTGAAGGCCCTGGTGTGGCTGCTGCTGAGGAACTGTGTCCAGAGACATAAGACCTTTACCTGGGGCACTGAGGAGGGGACAGGGGGCAAGGGAAGGAAGTCCCAGTCCTCCCATTTTGGCCAGTCAACTGTCACCCAGCCTGCAGAGGCTGTCATGGTGGAGTCTGTCTCCTCTCTCAAGTTTAGACGGGACAGCTCCAGTTTGACCTCCTTCGGTGTCTGGTCAGATGAGGATGACCTGTTTGGGCCTCAGCCAGCCAGGAGGACGGTGGTGCTGGTAAGTACGGAGGCCCAGCTGGGACAAACAGTGCTCCACACTGGCCCTTCACTGCCAGGCTCTGTGGAGATGGACAGTCTGTTTGAGAACATGGCCCTCTCGTCCCTCCAGCCCCTGGGTTTGGGTCTGGGGCTCCCAGCTGTGGATAAGGGCAGGAACCCTGAAGTACCCCCCACAGAGTCCTCCGGCACCTTGGCCCATGCAAACTTCAGCTGCCCCCACACTGAGCTGTTCAGCCTGCCCCCTGGGTGGAGGACAGCCCCCTTGTTACCATCCCGGTTGCAGCAGCTCAAGCCTTTGTTCCCTGAGGAGTGGTTTCGGTTCACTCTGGGGCAGTTGGCGCTGTCCATTCAGGACGAGGCTTCAGAAGATGTGACCAGAGCTCTGAAGGAGGATGGGGGGCTGAAGGACCTCCATGCCCAGGTGGCCCTGTCATGCCTCATCTCCCTGGGGGCAGAGTCTGCCTTCACCAGCCCCAGCTATGTCTATAGGGTCTACTGTGGGGACATGCCTTGGACAGAGGGGCTGGAGTGGCTCTCTGAAAACAAAGAACTTTACCAGCTTGCACTTAAGGCTTTCAGGTAAAGAGGGCAGGGGTGAAACATGGGTGTAGTTTGTACCCAACATAGGGGATCTAAAACGTGTATACTGGATGTGTGTTATAAATATTCAATGTTGCTATCCAAAGTTTGTCCCTGTAACTCTGATCTATTTACCTGCAGGTACAGTTTCAAGCTGCTGTTTGATCAGGCAAGTCTGGGGCCTATGGAGAGTCTTGAGGAGCTGTTCAGCACCCTGGAGGAGTATGAGAGGGACTGGTACATCGGTCTGGTGGCTGAGAGAGGCTGGCAGGACAGCGTCCTACAGGAGAAACCCTTCCTCTTCTCACTGGGCCATGACCTCACCATGGTAACCAAACTCACCACACTACACCTGTGTTTCTGTTACTTTACTAACTCACAGTGCTCTCACTATAGTAACCCAACATACACTTGAAATCTAGATGAACTATGAAGATTGCTTAAAAATTATGGTTTCTGTTTGTCTAGAGTGTATTGTGTGGTCTTTGGGGTGTGTGTATTTTAAACTGAGCTAGTGGTCAGTACAGTAAGTGACCTCTACCTGCCTGTCTCTGTTGCCACAGGGCACTTACACAGGGCGGGTTCTGTCCCTGCAGGAGCAGCTGGTTCAGGTAGGCCGTCTGAACGGGGAGGGGGTGCGTGGCCAGTGGGCAAACCTGTCCTGGGAGCTGCTCTACGCCACCAACGATGACGAGGAGCGCTACAGCATCCAGGCCCACCCCATCATGCTGAGGAACCTCACTGTCCAGGCAGCCGACCCCCCTCTGGGGTACCCCATCTATTCCTCTGTCCCCCTGCACCTCCCCTGCTTCTAATCCCTCATGGGATACCCCATCTACTCCTCTGTCCCCCTGCATCACCCCTGCTTCTGACCCCAACCCCTTGTTGGGATACGCCATTTTCACTGACTCACATGCCGGCCCCCTATACCCAACCCCCCTATCGGCCCCCTATACCCAACCCCCTATACCCAACCCCCCTGCCGGCCCCCTATACCCAACCCCCCTGCCGGCCCCCTATACCCAACCCCCCTATCGGCCCCCTATACACAACCCTGCCTCTGGTTTGCCCAGCTTTATCATTGGGTAGGCCCAATGTTGTGGCCTGTATATGTAACCCATCTATGACACTAGTGTAGGGGTCGGCAAAACTGTCCCGCAATTTATTTTAGGCCCCCAAAGGTTCAGTAAAATACAAGATTCAATGTATTTGGGGGATTTTTGTTTTTGGTCAAAAAAAGACTTGAATTTAGGAAATCTGTTCAAATATTCCCACAAATAAAAAGATGCGCTCGTGTCTCAATGTATGATATTTTTTCTAAATGCAATCTTTTATTGGGCTTAGTTGTGGTCAATTTGCAGTTATAATTATTTTGCGTCCCCCCCGGCTAAAATCGTCCCGCTGCTGAATCTAGTTGCCTAGTCCTGTATCGTAGGAGGGCACCTGGAAGGCAGATTAAAACAAATGGTGTCCTTCATGCAAGAGCGACAGCACAATACTTATGTCCAAAATATTTGTCAGTTTTCTTGTATGAATTACCAAATGTGTGGTACTAGTTCAAACAATGAAATGTGAGCTTTCTGGAAAAAATATTTACAAGGGACATAATTGTTCAGAATATTTTTTTAATTCACATTCTGGAACAAAGCGTTGAATCACTTGTGTAAATGAAATGTAATTTTTGTAGTTTATCAAACTTAAACATTTGATCAGTTACAACCACCTTCCCCCGAAGAGGACAGCCAACACAGTGCTTCCAATTTCATAATAAACTTATTTAGCAAATGCTGTTATGTAATGCTCCCAAAGGCAAAAAGGGACAAATATTTAGCTTATTTTTTTTATTATGAAGTGTTAAATTCAAGGATGTGTCTTTGTAATGTGGTTAGTAATTATTTTGCATAATTTTGTTTACCTTTCACTTATTTAAGACAAACAGATTAATTTAATAACTAATGTTCTCTTGTACATACTGTATACTGATTTGTGTATGGTGTGTATTTGTATATACTTAAAGTTTTCAAAGAAACCTGATAGTCCATTATTTACTCGAGATTGGTCAGTGCTATAGACATTCATCACAGATCTGTGGGGAGTGCATTAATTATACTCCACCTATCAGACAATCAATTTTAATGTTCCTCCTTATTCTGAAATACTTTTTTCTCCATTAACTGAGTCAGCCTGGACACATCCTAATTTCATAGGTGACAGGAGGAAAAACTTCAATGTTTCTATTTCCACCCTCATCCTTATGCTTTGTGAAGAGGGCTGTCCTAAAACATTTTCCTTTCAGCTAAAAAGGAGACAACTTGAACCTGGAAGCAATTAACCCATTTTAAGGTGGAGCTCAAGCATTTGGAATGCCTTTCAGGAAGACTTGGGCTTTGGCTTTGTGAAGTAAGCAGAGTCTGCATCCTGTAAGACAGAAAGCTTAATTTTAAAGTTATGTTTTTCAGACTGTAAAAAACTGTAGCACAGGCAAAATATAAACATTTTACATTCTGGGGAGACGCTCTGTCACTCAAGAAGTTAAGGCATCAGTAAAAAAAATGGACTTGTCAACAGCATGATGTGGGAATAGGTCATATCTCAGTTTAATTAAAGGTGACTGCGATTCTACTTTATCCATATACACTCATGTGAAAAAGTAAGTACACCCCCTGGAAAGTGGTCTTTCTAAAAAACAACAACAAAAAAAAAACATTTGGACACATGGATATGAGCTATATTCCCACCACATTCATTGATAAAGGTAACCCAATTTAACAAATCACAAAAAAACAACATAAAAATGCCTTTTCCTTATGCGGAAAAAGTTAGTACACCCCTACCTTTACCGTCACATAATGGCTAAAATTAGAATCAGGTGCAAATGATTAGAAAATCATTAGAGAAACTTAGGAGGGTCCAGCCTTCCATAAAGATTAGAAACTTGGTCTGGTTTGGTCTTAACCATATGGGTGTGGGGTAACATCGTGCCAAGATCAAAATACCTACCCGAGGCCCTCCGAAGAAAGATTATTGATGCCCATGAGTCTGGGAGGGGTTACAAATCCATTTTCAAGCATTCCACTGTCCGACGGCTCATCTACAAATGGAGAAAATTCCAGACCACTGGCAATCTACCTAGGACAGGTTGTCATACCAAATTCAGCCCAAGAGCTGACCAAAAGATACTCATATAAGTCTAAGAACCCCAGGGTAACATCAAGGGATCTACAGGCTTCTCTTGCCACAATCAATGTCGAAGTGCATGAGTCAACTGTCAGAAAGAGACTGAACAAACTTGGCCTACATGGGAGGTCAGGAAGGAAGAAGCCTCTGCTCTCAAAAAAAGAATATCAAGACACGACTGACGTTTGCCAGACAACACCTGGGTAAAGACCAAAACTACTGGAACAATGTGCTTTGGACAAATGAGTCAAAGGTGGAGTTGTTTGGCGAAAAATGAAACACTGCCTTTGAACAGAAGAACCTTATACCAACTGTAAAGCATGGAGGCGGTGGCATTAAGGTTTGGGGCTGCTTTGCTGCCTCAGGGCCTGCCAACTTGCCATCATTGAGTCAACAATTAATTATATATTGTACCAGAGAATTATTGAGGAGAATGTGAGGCCATCTGTCAAAAAGCTGAAGCGAACATGGATCTTGCAACAATGATCCAAAGCTACAACAATGGCTCAAAAAGAAGAAAGTCAAAGCCCAGATCTCAATCCTATCGAAATGCTGTGGGGGGACTTGAAGCGAACCGTGCGTGCAAGAAAGCCCTCGAACATGACACAGTTGAAGCAGTACTGTAAAGAAGAGTGGGCAAATATTCCTCCCAGTTAATGTAAGAGACTGATAGACAGTTACAAGAAACATCTAGATGAAGTTATTTCAGCCAAAGGGGGCAACACAAGCTATTGAAGCTAGGGGTGTACTTATTTTTCCGCACTATGGAATTGCATTTCTGTTGATTTTGATGAATAAATGATTGCAAAGTATAATCTTTCAGTGTCATTTGTTAAATTAGGTTACCTTTATCTGTCAATAGTGTTGAAGTGAAGATTACATATCCATCTGTCCAAATATGTACAAAATAAAAATAATACTTTCCAGGGGGTGTCCTTACTTTTTCAAATGACTGTATGTCCTATGTTCTGAGGCAAATCTTGCTTGATTGTCTGTTTTAGGTGTCTAGATTTCAAAATACTGTTCATTGACAGATAAAGAATAGAAAACCTGCAAACTCGCTATTTATGTTGCCTTTCCTCAGTCTGTATTTAATCTCCTTTGTATACTTTTTTTTTATATTGACCAAACCTTCTTGAGCATTCCTACACACAACTAAACCACAGTGGTTGGGCGACATCGTCCATCCAAATCCTGACACTAAAATGTCTAGTCAGTCAGAACATGACCTTTCTGCGTGGCCCTCAGCTGTCCAGCAGAGGCCACCAGACGTAGTAGTCAGTAAGTCAGTCACTGCCACTGGGAAGCAGTCATGCTCACTGCTATACCCTGGCCAGTGTGGCCACCCCCTTCCCTTTATCAGGCTGAAGCAAGGTCAGTAACAGCTGAGCCCCCTAGCTGTTAAGAGACAGCTCTAAATAGAGTCTGCTTTACTAAAGTATTTTCAGACTGTTCACACGGTTAGTGTCCCCTTATTCCTGGCCTGGAGAGGCAAGGTTAACCTTAGAGAATGTGAAAGCAAGGCCATGCATAAACAATGCCTAGTGCAGGGATGGGCAACTCCTTTCCTCTGGGGTCTGATTGGTGTCACTTTTGCCCCAGCCCCAGCTAACACACCTGACTCCAATCAAATAATCATGATCTTCAGTTTAGAATGCAATTAGTTTAATCAGCTGTGTTTGCTAGGGATGGGGGAAAAGTGTGACACCACTCCAGCCCAGAGGACTGGAGTTAGCCATCACTGGCCTTGTGTGTTTCACCCAGTCAGAGTGCTGGTTGTCTATGTCAGTTTTTACCATCTCCAGTCCTCGAGTACACCCAACAGCACACATTTTTGTTGTAGCCCCGGACAAACTCACCTGATTCAACTCATTGAGGAATTTATGATTAGTTGACAAGTTGAATCAGGTGCTCTCGTCCAGGGCTACAACAAAAATGTGTACTGTTGGGGGTACTGGAGGAGACAGTTGGGAAACACTGCTGGAATACACTGAGCTCTGATCATTATATAGGCAAAACTGTAACAATATATAGTTTGCAGTTCAGAAAACACATTATTAAGCAAAATCATGTTGAGACCATCAGGAAACCAATACAAACCAGGCCAGCCTTGAAGTTCTGCACCCTCTTCCTGCCCAGCACATCAGTGATGAACCAGGCCCAGGTGGGAGCATACTGCCACACATAGTAGAACAGCAGAAAGGGCTGCTGGGCGATCCACATCTCCTTGGTGCCATTGGCTATACCCACCAGGATGAGACGCACACAACGACTAGTGGCCATCTTGTGTTGCTGGTCCCCAGCAGTGGGAATGGCCTTAGATATGGAAGGGAAATGAGAGAGGAAATTAAAATGTCAACACTCAAACAAAAATGAATGTTCAGTTGAACAGAAGTTAAATCATACTTTAATTACAATTATTTGAAAGACCAATGGCTTTCCCATTAATGCGTTTCTGTGACATCTTGACAATAACAAAATGTGATGCAATTGTAATGTGTTTATTGTTTTTCATCACACAAATTGGCAGCAAAACCCACCTTTCCCACTTCTTCTGTGAAAGCGTTCTGGACTATCTGTGACTGTACAGGCCCTGGACATACTGTGCTGATGAGTATCCTTGGGTATTCGGTCAGCTCCGTTCGAAGAGAATTGAAGAAGCCCTGTGGAAAAAGTAGATATCTCAAGATCTTAATCAATTGATATATCTAGATGTTGTACAACTACAAACGGGCAGAGGGTGGCCCATGATTGATCTCACCTGAAGAGCGTGTTTACTGGCAGAGTATCCGGTTGCCAGGGGTGCCCCAGCCAGGCCGACCACACTGCTTACAGTAACTACACTGCCCGACCCTCGCTGCGTCATGTGGGGCAACACCTGCTTGGTAAGTGACACCGTGCCCAGGAAGTTGAGCTCCATCAGTGCCTGGTACACATCCACACTGGTCTCCAGGCACAGAGAACGCTGGCTGCGGCCACCATTGTTAATCAGGATGTCAATCTAAACGGGCATAGTGCAGAGGGAGACCGGAACAAAGCAAGCCATGTATCACCAATTATCTTATTCTTCAAAGGAATTCATTTAATTAATGAATTCATGATACACTGGTAACAAAATCAAGACTTGGTTGTGAACATTTCTGTCAAAGGTATAATCAAAAAACAAATCAGATTACAGGTGAAAACAACCTCACGTCTCAGAATAAGAGAACACGTCTAATAAGACGGAGCTAATACTGGATTTAGCCTTGAATTGCATTTTCATGTTGAACATGTGCATCATTTGCCTTTGGGAGCTGGTTGGTAGTAAGCTAGTCTGATTAATCAGGTTTTAATACACAATTAATTGGTATATACAGCCTGAAACGTGTGCAAAATCGTTTACAGTAAATGTTCCTTACAAACCAGAATATTGAATACAAATACATTTCAACTTACTCTACCAGTTGTCTGTGCGGTTTGTTCTTCAGCTGCTCAACATGAGACAACATATCCACATTAAAGTATTGTTTAAGTGACTTTTTAGACAGCCGGTAGGTATATAGTTCGGTACAATTAAAATGGTGTATTCTGAATCGGGAGGATGGAGAACAATCCACACCTCGGTAATGAACAATATACCTACTGGCTCTCTAAAAAGTTGGGTAAACAATACTTTGCTGTGGATATTTTGTCTCACAGACAACCGGTAGAGTAAGTTCAAATGTAATTTTATTCAACATTCTGGCTTGTAAGGAACATTTACAACATTTTACACACAAATGTTTCAGGCTGTATATACCAATTAATTGTGTATTACAGCCTGATTAATCAGACTAGCAGTGAGCATGTATGTTGAATATACACTGCTCAAAAAAATAAAGGGAACACTTAAACAACACAATGTAACTCCAAGTCAATCACACTTCTGTGAAATCAAACTGTCCACTTAGGAAGCAACACTGATTGACAATACATTTCACATGCTGTTGTGCAAATGGAATAGACAACAGGTGGAAATTATAGGCAATTAGCAAGACACCCACAATAAAGAAGTGGTTCTGCAGGTGGTGACCACAGACCACTTCTCAGTTCCTATGCTTCCTGGCTGATGTTTTGGTCACTTTTGAATGCTGGCGGTGCTTTCACTCTAGTGGTAGCATGAGTGTGCAGCTCATCCAGGATGGCACATCAATGCGAGCTGTGGCAAGAAGGTTTGCTGTGTCTGTCAGTGTAGTGTCCAGAGCATGGAGGCGCTACCAGGAGACAGGCCAGTACATTAGGAGACGTGGAGGAGGCCGTAGGAGGGCAACAACCCAGCAGCAGGACCGCTACCTCCGCCTTTGTGCAAGGAGGAGCAGGAGGAGCACTGCCAGAGCCCTGCAAGATGACCTCCAGCAGGCCACAAATGTGCATGTGTCTGCTCAAACGGTCAGAAACAGACTCCATGAGGGTGGTATGAGGGCCCGACGTCCACAGGTGGGGGTTGTGCTTACAGCCCAACACCGTGCAGGACGTTTGGCATTTGCCAGAGAACACCAAGATTGGCAAATTCGCCACTGGCGCCCTGTGCTCTTCACAGATGAAAGCAGGTTCACACTGAGCACGTGACAGACGTGACAGAGTCTGGAGACGCCGTGGAGAACGTTCTGCTACCTGCAACATCCTCCAGCATGACCGGTTTGGCGGTGGGTCAGTCATGGTGTGGGGTGGCATTTCTTTGGGGGGGCCGCACAGCCCTCCATGTGCTCGCCAGAGGTAGCCTGACTGCCATTAGGTACCGAGATGAGATCCTCAGACCCCTTGTGAGACCATATGCTGGTGCGGTTGGCCCTGGGTTCCTCCTAATGCAAGACAATGCTAGACCTCATGTGGCTGGAGTGTGTCAGCAGTTCCTGCAAGAGGAAGGCATTGATGCTATGGACTGGCCCGCCCGATCCCCAGACCTGAATCCAATTGAGCACATCTGGGACCTCATGTCTCGCTCCATCCACCAACGCCACGTTGCACCACAGACTGTCCAGGAGTTGGCGGATGCTTTAGTCCAGGTCTGGGAGGAGATCCCTCAGGAGACCATCCGCCACCTCATCAGGAGCATGCCCAGGCATTGTAGGGAGGTCATACAGGCACGTGGAGGCCACACACACTACTGACCTTCATTTTGACTTGTTTTAAGGACATTACATCAAAAGTTGGATCAGCCTGTAGTGTGGTTTTCCACATTAATTTTGAGGGTAACTCCAAATCCAGACCTCCATGGGTTGATAAATTTGATTTCCATTGATCATTTTTGTGTGATTTTGTTGTCAGCACATTCAACTATGTAAAGAAAAAAGTATTTAATAAGATTATTTCATTCATTCAGATCTAGGATGTGTTGTTTAAGTGTTCCCTTTATTTTTTTGAGCAGTGTATATTAAATAAGTAAGGCCAGTCTGGCTAGACTATTAAGTAAATGCTAAAAAAGTATGTCCTACATCAGTGGTTCCCAAACTGAGGGGTCGGCAGGGCGGGCGGGCGGGCGGATATAAATGTTTATATATATATATAAATGTTTATATATATATATATATATATATATATATATATATATATATATATATATATATATATATACACACAGTTGAAGTCGGAGGTTTACATACACTTAGGTTGGAGTCATTAATACTCGTTTTTCAACCACTCCACAAATTTCTTGTTAACAAACTATAGTTTTGGCAAGTCGGTTAGGACATCTACTTTGTGCATGACACAAGTAATTTTTCCAACAATTGTTTACAGACAGATTATTTCACTTATAATTCACTGTATCACAATTCCAGTGGGTCAGAAGTCTACATACACTAAGTTGACTGTGCCTTTAAACAGCTTGGAAAATTCCATAAAATTATGTCATGGCTTTAGAAGCTTCTGATAGGCTAATTGACATCATTTGAGTCAATTGGAGGTGTACCTGTGGATGAATTTCAAGGACTACCTTCAAACTCAGTGCCTCTTTGCTTGACATAATGAGAAAATCAAAAGAAATCAGCCAAGAACTCAGAAAAAAAGTCTGGTTCATCCTTGGGAGCAAATTCCAAATGCCTGAAGGTACCACGTTCATCTGTACAAACAATAGTATGCAAGTCTAAACACCATGGGACCACGCAGTCGTCAAACCGCTCAGGAAGGAGACGTGTTCTGTATCCTAGAGATGAACGTACTTTGGTGCGAAAAATGCAAATCAATCCCAGAACAACAGCAAAGGACCTTGTGAAGATGCTGGAGGAAACAGGTACAAAAATATCTATATCTACAGTAAAACGAGTCCTATATCGACATAACCTAAAAGGCTGCTCAGCAAGGAAGAAGCCACTGCTCCAAAACCGACATAAAAAAGCCAGACTACGGTTTGCAACTGCACATCGGGACAAAGATCGTACGTTTTGGAGAAATGTCCTCTGGTCTGATGAAACAAAAATATAACTGTTTGGCCATAATGACCATCGTTATGTTTGGAGGAAAAAGGGGGAGTTTGCAAGCCGAAGAACACCATCCCAACCGTGAAACACAAGGGTGTCAGCATCATGCTGTGGGGGTGTTTGCTGCAGGAGGGACTGGTGCACTTCACAAAATAGATGGCATCATGAGGAAGGAAAATTGTGTGGATATATTGAAGCAACATCTCAAGACATCAGTCAGGAAGTTAAAGCTTGGTCGCAAATGGGTCTTCCAAATGGACAATGACCCCAAGCATTCTTCCAAAGTTGTGGCAAAATTCCTTAAGGACAATAAAGTCAAGGTATTGGAGTGGCCATCACAAAGCCCTGACCTCAATCCTATAGAAAATCTGTGGGCAGAACTGAAAAAGCGTGTGCGAGCAAGGAGGCCTACAAACCTGACTCAGTTACACCAGCTCTGTCAGGAGGAATGGGCCAAAATTCACCCAACTTATTGTGGGAAGCTTGTGGAAGGCTACCCGAAACGTTTGACCAAAGTTAAACAATTTAAAGGCAATGCTACCAAATACTAATTGAGTGTATGTAAACTTCTGACCCACTGGGAATGTGATGAAATAAATAAAAGCTGAAATAAATCATTCGCTCTACTATTATTCTGACATTTCACATTCTTAAAGTAAAGTGGTGATCCTAACTGACCTAAGACAGGGAATTTTTACTAGGATTAAATGTCAGGAATTGTGAAAAACTGAGTTTAAATACATTTGGCTAAGGTGTATGTAAACGTCCGATTTCAACTGTGTATATATACACACACACACACACACACACACACACACACACACATATATATATATATATACATATACAGTGGGGGAAAAAAGTATTTAGTCAGCCACCAATTGTGCAAGTTCTCCCACTTAAAAAGATGAGAGAGGCCTGTAATTTTCATCATAGGTACACGTCAACTATGACAGACAAAATGAGATTTTTTTTCTCCAGAAAATCACATTGTAGGATTTTTTATTAATTTATTTGCAAATTATGGTGGAAAATAAGTATTTGGTCACCTACAAACAAGCAAGATTTCTGGCTCTCACAGACCTGTAACTTCTTCTTTAAGAGGCTCCTCTGTCCTCCACTCGTTACCTGTATTAATGGCACCTGTTTGAACTTGTTATCAGTATAAAAGACACCTGTCCACAACCTCAAACAGTCACACTCCAAACTCCACTATGGCCAAGACCAAAGAGCTGTCAAAGGACACCAGAAACAAAATTGTAGACCTGCACCAGGCTGGGAAGACTGAATCTGCAATAGGTAAGCAGCTTGGTTTGAAGAAATCAACTGTGGGAGCAATTATTAGGAAATGGAAGACATACAAGACCACTGATAATCTCCCTCGATCTGGGGCTCCACGCAAGATCTCACCCCGTGGGGTCAAAATGATCACAAGAACAGTGAGCAAAAATCCCAGAACCACACAGGGGGACCTAGTGAATGACCTGCAGAGAGCTGGGACCAAAGTATCAAAGCCTACCATCAGTAACACACTACGCCGCCAGGGACTCAAATCCTGCAGTGCCAGATGTGTCCCCCTGCTTAAGCCAGTACATGTCCAGGCCCGTCTGAAGTTTGCTAGAGTGCATTTGGATGATCCAGAAGAGGACTGGGAGAATGTCATATGGTCAGATGAAACCAAAATAGAACTTTTTGGTAAAAACTCAACTTGTCGTGTTTGGAGGACAAAGAATGCTGAGTTCCATTCAAAGAACACCATACCTACTGTGAAGCATGGGGGTGGAAACATCATGCTTTGGGGCTGTTTTTCTGCAAAGGGACCAGGACGACTGATCCGTGTAAAGGAAAGAATGAATGGGGCCATGTATCGTGAGATTTTGAGTGAAAACCTCCTTCCATCAGCAAGGGCATTGAAGATGAAACGTGGCTGGGTCTTTCAGCATGACAATGATCCCAAACACACCGCCCGGGCAACGAAGGAGTGGCTTCGTAAGAAGCATTTCAAGGTCCTGGAGTGGCCTAGCCAGTCTCCAGATCTCAACCCCATAGAAAATCTTTGGAGGGAGTTGAAAGTCCGTGTTGCCCAGCGACAGCCCCAAAACATCACTGCTCTAGATGAGATCTGCATGGAGGAATGGGCCAAAATACCAGCAACAGTGTGTGAAAACCTTGTGAAGACTTACAGAAAACGTTTGACCTGTGTCATTGCCAACAAAGGGTATATAACAAAGTATTGAGAAACTTTTGTTATTGACCAAATACTTATTTTCCACCATAATTTGCAAATAAATTCATTAAAAATCCTACAATGTGATTTTCTGGATTTTTTTTTCTCATTTTGTCTGTCATAGTTGACGTGTACCTATGATGAAAATTACAAGCCTCTCATCTTTTTAAGTGGGAGAACTTGCACAATTGGTGGCTGACTAAATACTTTTTTCCCCCACTGTATATATACACACATACACACATACATATATATATACATATATACACACATACATACATTTATATATATATATATATATATATATACACACATACACACACACACACACACACACACACACATATAGTACGAGTCAAAAGTTTGGACACCTACTCATTTCCAGGGTTTTTCTTTATTTGTACTATTTTCTACATTGTAGAATAATAGTGAAGACATCAAAACTATGAAATAACACATATGGAATCATGTAGTAACCAAGGAAGTGTTAAACAAATCAAAATATATTTTATATTTGAGATTCTTCAAAGTAGCCACCCTTTGCCTTGATGACAGCTTTGCACACTCTTGGCATTCTCTCAACCAGCTTCATGAGGTAGTCACCTGGAATGTATTTCAATGAACAGGTGTGCCTTCTTAAAAGTTAATTTGTGGAATTTCTTTCCTTCTTATTGAGTTTGAGCCAATCAGTTGTTTTGTGACAAGGTAGGGTGGTATACAGAAGATAGCCTTATTTGGTAAAAGACCAAGTCCATATTATGGCAAGAATAGCTCAAATAAGCAAAGAGAAAGTGCAGTCGCAAAAAACATCAAGCGCTATGATGAAACTGGCTCTCACGAGGACCGCCACAGGAAAGGAAGACCCAGAGTTACCTCTGCTGCAGAGGATAAATTCATTAGAATTAACTGCACCTCAGATTGCAGGCCAAATAAATGCTTCACAGAGTTCAAGTAACAGACATCTCAACATCAACTGTTCAGAGGAGACTGCCTGAATCAGGCCTTCATGGTCAAATTACTGTTCAAAAGAAACCACTACTAAAGGACACCAATAAGAAGAAGAGACTTGCTTGGGCCAAGAAGACCAGTGGCATTAGACCAGTGGAAATTTGTCCTTTGGTCTGATGTGTCCAAATTTGAGATTTTTGGTTCCAACCACTGTGTCTTTGTGAGACGCAGAGTAGGTGAACGGATGATCTCTGCATGTGTGGGTCCCACCATGAAGCATGGAGGAGGAGGTGTGATGGTGCTTTGCTGGTGACACTGTCTGTGATTTATTTACAATTCAATGCACACTTAACCAGCATGGCTACCACAGCATTCTGCAGCAATACGCCATCCCATCTGGTTTGCGCTTAGTGGGACCATCATTTGTTTTTCCAACAAGACAATGACCCAAAACACACCTCCAGGCTGTGTAAGGGCTATTCGACCAAGCAAGACAGTGATGGAGTGCTGCATCAGATGACCTAGCCTCCACAATCACCCGACCTCGACCCAATTGAGATGGTTTGGGATGAGTTGGACTGCAGAGTGAAGGAAAAGCAGCCAACAAGTGCTCAGCATATGTGGGAACTCCTTCAAGACTGTTGGAAAAGCATTCCTCATGAAGTTGGTTGAGAGAATGCCAAGAGTGTGCAAAGCTGTCATCAAGGCAAAGGGTGGCTACTTTGAAGAATCTAAAATCTAAAATATTTGTTTAACACTTTTTTGGTTACTACATGATTCCATATGTGTTATTTCATAGTTTTGATGTCTTCACTATTATTCTACAATGTAGAAAATAGTAAAAATAAAGAAAAACCCTTGAATGAGTAGGTGTCCAAACTTTTGACTGGTACTGTATATAATATATTTTTTAAAGGAACTCAGTCCAGCTTTAAACTTACTCTTGAAAGTTGTAATAGTAGCACGCACAAGGTGCAATTTCGAAATTGGGTAGTGCATTATCGGTTCCTCTTGTCATGTTAGTCATTGCATACCTTAGAGAGCTATATATAACTTGTCAGAAATGTCCAGATCAACTAGCCAATGTCAGCTCATGTTTTTTTGTTTTTGTTTTCTTAGCCCACAGATATTGTTGTAATTTTTTTTGTCACTGAAATATTACATGAATACACATTAGACATAGCAAAATGTATAGAATTGCAAGAAAATTAGCTTTTAAAGTGCAAAATTTTATTTGCACCCCATGACAAAATGTGTAGAATTGCAGGAAATAAGCTTTCAACCTGCTAAATTCTCTCCACCAACAAGAAGGGTGTGAACAGTTTGTCATGAACAGTGCTTGTGCCCATAGAAATAGACGTGGCAATTATCAAGTGTAGTGGTCTTACATTGCCAAAGTGCTGGATAGCAGTTTTCGTTTTTGCCTCATGGGATGCCCTCTCCAGCAAATCAAGTGGAAGAACAAGAATATCCTTATCTTTTAAGTTGGAGCGCTCTAGGGAAAGAAAAATGAAAATGTTTGTTAACTGGTCAGCAAATGAAGGGGCTAGGTGTATAAAATCATTGAAGCGGTAGGCTATGTAATTTATCATTCTTAACAGTAAAGAGAATCAACCCAATTGTGTGCAAGAGCATACAGCTTTCATTAGACTACAGAACTTTCTCACTCACCCAAACAGTGAAGTTTCACCCTATCCAACTGATCCACGCGCCGGGCTGATAGAATCAGACGAGACCCACATCCAGCTAGTTGGTAAGCCAGCTCCTCCCCTATGCCACTGGAGGCTCCTGTGACCCACACCACCAGTCCTTTCAACTTGGTCTCTACAAAACAAGCAGCAGATTGTGTTACTTTTCATAGTAAATACTGGGCCTGTGAGTAGTTTGGAGGTAGGCTACAGTAGGGTGTTCAACCTCGGACCTGAAAATACAGAGAAACAGCACTACAACCTTGTCACCTGGTTACCCCAACCATTATAGACCAGGTCCCTCCACCTTGTTGTAATTTCCCCCTCTTGGCCCTTGAGGGCAAGCAACCAATGTAATACAAAGGTAAATGTTGTTTTGATGACAAATTCTGTAGTCTGAGCACCAGAAAACTTTGACCGCTCTGGATGTCCTTCAGATTTTCCATATCATCGCTGTTTTGCAACATTGTGTGGACATTGCTGTTCTAAATCTGAAGGAGATCCTGAGAGGTCAAAATTTGCTTGGTGCTCAGACTACAGAACGTGTCATCAAAACAACCTTTGTGTTACATTGGTTGGATTCTCCATTCATGCAACATGGATCTGACCTGAAACAATGTAGGAATAAAAGGTAGAGCAACATGTTACAGTCTATATTGAAAGACTGACTCCTCGTCAATGGTGTAAAGTACTTAAGTCAAAACACTTTGAAGTACTACTTAAGTCGTTTTTTGGGGTATCTGTACTTTACTTTATTATTTATATTTTTGGCAACTTTAACTTTACTACATTCCTAAAGAAAATACTGTTATTTTTACTCCATACATGTTCCCTGACACCCAAAAGTACTCGTTACATTTTGACAGGAAAATGGTCCAATTCACACACTTATCAAGAGAACATCCCTGGTCATCCCAACTGCCTCTGATCTGGCGGACTCACTAAACACAAATGCTTCTTTTGTAAATTGTCTGAGTGTTGGAGAGTGTCCCTGGCTATCCACCAATAAAAATAAATAAAATAAAAAATTGTGCTGTCTGGTTTGCTAAATATAAGGATTTTGAAATGATTTATACTTTTACTTTTGATACTTAAGTACATTTTAGCAATTCCATTTACTTTTGATACTTAAGTATATTTAAAACCAAATACTTTTAGACTTTTACTCAAGTAGTATTTTACTGGGTGACTTCGACTTGAGTCATTTTCTATTAAGGTATCTTTACTTTTACTCAAGTATGACAATTTAGTCCTTTTTCCACCACTGCTCCTCGTACATTGCCACATTGTGGCGACTGCTTGGAGTTCTTGGTCAGTACAAGTTAATTAAGGGACAGGTGTGTTACCTGGCTTGCTCCCTAACAAGGTTGCCCATAGTAAGGTCAAGTCAGCGTCCGCAAATATGAAGCGCACAAACTGTACAAGCAAGTAAAGTGCAATTCCAGTGAGCAACATCACGCCAAAATCCATAGTCTTCTGGCTTGTGTGAAAATGTTATGAAAGTCGCAGCACAAGAACAACGCGCATCTGCTCTGCTGCGTTAGGGAAAATAAACGCTGTAAAAAACGTCAAGTAATAACCCGGAAGCGACTATTATTAGAAACTCAAAACCCTTCCGGTTACAGTTTACTCTTTTAGAAGATGATATCAAAGACAGATTTAGAATTTAGAAATATATGTCAGGATAAATAGACAGTGTTCATGCAAATATTTGGCGCACTGTGCCGCTTTAATAGAGACATAGTGTGATGAACGATAATGTGACTGAAATAAATGTATTACTGAGAAAAATAAGATTGGCCACAGCCCACAGCTATTTCCATACGAAATGTATTTTTGTTTCTGTTAATTCTGTGTTCGCCTTTACAATGTTTAATCCATTTATGGGCTTTTGTTTTGATATGACATGCATATCAACCACTGCTAGAGGGTATCAACCACTGACTGCCTCATAGGAATGATGTAATGCTTTCAAGTACGCAACCTGCAATATCCGGGTCTTTTTCAAGTCCTGTTTGGTTTAGCTAGCTAGGTGCAGGCTGTCTGTCAAGCTGTCAAGTGAAGAGGCTGGGGCTTTCGGCTTGACACTATATTGGCCATAACAGCTCCGGCCTAAAAGTTTAGAGGGACATTTGAAATATACTTTACGTCGCCAAATGAGATAAAGTAATGCATCCCTGGTTTACTTAGAACAGGGAGTTCCTCACTTTCACAAATTGATGTACTGAGAGGTGATTGCTAGCTAACGTTACCCGCAAACTCTCCATCTTGTTGGTGTTTCTGTCGCAGCTTCTGTCGCTGTCTTTACACTTTCAAAACAGCTCTTTCTGATTTTGGTAAGTCACAGTTGTTTGTGCCTTTAAGAAACTCTCTACCTCTGTTTACATTTCTGATTAGCCATACTCACTAGCACTGGGGGCAGCGCGATGAGGAGTCCGTGGGATAGTGAAGGCCTGTCTATGCTAACGTTATGTGAACGCGTGAGGTTCAAGGGACCAAGGCCCACAACGACGCAAGGTGTTTTATTGTATTTTAGTTGTCATATTGCCACGGGAGGATTTAAGTTAGCTAGCCAGCCCACTAGAAAACGTTGTTGAAAACATTATTGTTGGTAATTTCGTGATCATCAAAAGTGTTCCTTGTTCTGGAAATTTTAACTAGCCCTGGCTCTGTCATTGACTTAGTTGGACGATGGCTAGCTACCTAGCCGTGTTAGCTTGCTGTTGTGACGTAGCTATTAACTAACATCAGTTTACCAGCTAACTTAGCTAGCTAACGTTAGTTACCTAACAAAGCTTGCTAGCTAGCTAGGTAGGTTGCTAGTTAACTATTTAACAGATTGCTAGCCAACATCATTAAAACACCAAGCTAGTTAACTAGCTACACTGTTGATTGTAATGTTGCTAGTTAGCTACCTAACCACACAAAAAAACACGTAACTAGTGCACTGGACGTTGGCTTGGGACCTAGCTAGCTGGATGGATTAGCTAGGTTTTTGCAATACTGACTGTTTGTAATGTGTTGAACTCACACAATAAATGGCCAACACCTATAAAATAGCTCGTTTAGCGGCTAACGTTAGTTTTTCATTGATAGCTATAGACTTTTATATCTAGTGTAGTGAGACATACTTAGCTGCCGTTAGTCACCTATGTTTACAGACTGGTCGCATAGACTAGAGGTAACATAGTAAACGTAAATCCGAGACACCCAAATTAGTATGATACCTATATATACACAAAAGTATGTGGACACCCCTTCAAACTATGGGATTTGACTATTTCAGCCACACTCGTTGCTGATAGGTGTATAAAATCGAGCACACCGCCATTCAATCTCCATAGACAAACATTGGCAGTAGAATGTCCTTACTGAAGAGCTCAATGACTTTCAACTTAGCCCCGTCATAGGATGCCACCTATCCAACAAGTCAGTTTGTCAAATTTCTGCCCTGCTAGACCTGCCCCGGTCAACTGTAAGTGCTGTTATTGTGAAGTGGAAACGTCCTCGGTTGCAACACTCACTACTGAGTTCCAAACTGCCTCTGGAAGAAACGTTAGCACAATAACTTTTTGTCAGGAGCTTCATGAAATGGGTTTCCATGGCCGAGCAGCCGCACGCAAGCCTAAAATCACCATGCACAATGCCAAGTGTCGGCTGGAGTGGTGTAAAGCTCGCCGCCATTGAACTCTGGAGCAGTGGAAACGCATTCTCTGGAGTGATGAATCATGCTTCAACATCTGGCAGTCCGACGGACGAATCTGGGTTTGGTGGATTCCAGGATAACGCTACCTGCCTGAATGCATGGTGCCAACTGTAAAGTTTGGTGGAGGAAGAATAATGGTCTGTGGCTGTTTTTCATGGTTTGGGCTAGGCCCCTTAGTTCCAGTGAGGGGAAATCTTAAAGCTACACCATACAATGTCATTCTAGACGATTCTGTGCTTCCAACTTTGTGGCAACAGTTTGGGGAAGGCCCTTTCCTGTTTCAGCATGACAATGCCCCCGTGCACAAAGCGCGGTCCATAAAGAAATAGTTGATTGAGATCGGTTTGGAAGAACTTGACCGGCCTGCACAGAGCTCTGACCTCAACCCCATAGAACACCATTGGGATGAATTGGAACGCCGACTGTGAGCCAGGCCTGATCGCCCAACATCAGTGCCCGACGTCACTAATGCTCATGTGGCTGAATGGAAGCAAGTCCCCGCAGCAATGTTACAACATCTAGTGGAAAGCCTTCCCAGAAGAGTGGAGGCTGTTATAGCAGCAAAGGGGGGACCAACTCCATATTAATGCCCATGATTTTTGAATGAAATGTTTGACGAGCAGGTGTCCACATACTTTCTGTCATGTAGTGTATGTTACATTTGGTATGGTTACATAACATAGTTTACTTTTAGCTAATTTGCAAATACTTACTACATTTCAGCTACCCCTAACAACCGCTAACCCTTTCCCTAACCCTTTAACCTAACTCCTAACCATAACCCCTAGAGCTAGCTAGCATCAGCCACCTAGCTAACGTTAGCCATAACAAATGGGAATTCGTAACATATCGTACGTTTAGCAAATTCGTAACATATTGTACTTTTGCAAAATCGTAACATTGTATGTTTTGTAAATTCTTAACATATTGTACGAATTGCAATTCGTAACATATTGTATGAAATGGATCATGAACATCCACAAATTAACCTCTACGGGATCCCGTATACGGGATGGTTGAGCTAATGTGCACTAATGTGATTATTTTTTGTTTTTTTTATTTTTTATTTAACCTTTATTTAACCAGGTAAGCCAGTTGAGAACAAGTTCTCATTTACAACTGCGACCTGGCCAAGATAAAGCAAAGCAGTGCGATAAAAACAACACAGAGTTACATATGGGGTAAAAAAAACATAAAGTCAAAAATACAACAGAAAATATATATACAGTGTGTGCAAATGTAGCAAGTTATGGAGGTAAGGCAATAAATAGGCTATAGTGCAAAATAATTACAATAGTATTAACACTGGAATGCTAGATGTGCAAGAGATTATGTGCAAATAGAGATACTGGGGTGCAAAAGAGCAAAATAAATAACAATATAGGGATGAGGTAGTTGGGTGGGCTAATTTCAGATGGGCTGTGTACAGGTGCAGTGATCGGTAAGGTGCTCTGACAACTGATGCTTAAAGTTAGCATGACTGTTGTAAGTAACAGCAAACTTTCCAGGACATAGACATGTCTTATATGGGTAGAAAGCTTAAATTCTTGTTAATCTAACTGCACTGTCCAATTTACAGTAGCTATTACAGTGAAAAAATACCATGCTTGAGGAGAGTGCACAACAACAAAAAACGTATCACGGCAACTGGTTTGATACATTCACCTCTGAAGGTAAATAATGTACTTACATTCAGTAATCTTGCTCAGATTTGTCATCCTAAAGGTCCCAGAGATCAAATGTAGAATAGTTTTGTTTGATAAAATCAATTTTTATATTCAAATGTAGGAATTGGGTTCTACAGTTTGAACCCCTGCTGTCTCTGGCTCCACACCCACCCCGCCCGGCCATCTAGATGTGTGAAAGTTAGTGTACACAAATATTGGTCTTCACAAAGTTTGCTGCTTCAGTGTTATGATATATTTTTGTCAGATGTTACTATGGTATACTGAAGTATAATTACAAGCACTCCATAAGTGGCAAAGGCTTTTATTAACAATTACATTAAGTTTATGCAAAGAGTCAATATTTGCAGTGTTGACCCTTCTTTTTCAAGACCTCTGCAATCCGCCCTGGCATGCTGTCAATTAACTTCTGGGCCACATCCTGACTGATGGCAGCCCATTCTTGCATAATCAATGCTTGGAGTTTGTCAGAATTTGTGGGTTTTTGTTTGTCCGCCTGCCTCTTGAGGATCGACCACAAGTTCTCAATGGGATTAAGGTCTGGGGAGTTTCCTGGCCATGGACCCAAAATGTCGATGTTTTGTTCCCCAAGCCACTTAGTTATCACTTTGCCTTATGGCAAGGTGCTCCATCATGCTGGAAAAGGCATTGGTCGTCACCAAACTGTTCTTGGATGGTTGGGAGAAGTTGCTCTCGGAGGATGTGTTGGTACCATTCTTTATTCATGGCTGTGTTCTTAGGCAAAATTGTGAGTGAGCCCACTCCCTTGGCTGAGAAGCAACCCCACACATGAATGGTCTCAGGATGCTTTACTGTTGGCATGACACAGGACTGATGGTAGCGCTCACCTTGTCTTCTCCGGACAAGGTGTTTTCCGGATGCCCCAAACAATCGGAAAGGGGATTCATCAGAGAAAATGACTTTACCCCAGTCCTCAGCAGTCCAATCCCTGTACCTTTAGCAGAATATCAGTCTGTCCCTGATGTTTTTCCTGGAGAGAAGTGGCTTCTTTGCTGCCATTCTTGACACCAGGCCATCCTCCAAAAGTCTTCGCCTCACTGTGCGTGCAGATGCACTCGCACCTGCCTGCTGCCATTCCTTAGCAAGCTCCACACTGGTGGTTCCCCGATCCCGCAGCTGAATCAACTTTAGGAGACGGTCCTGGCACTTGCTGGACTTTCTTGGGCGCCCTGATGCCTTCTTCACAACAATTGAACTTCTCTCCTTGAAATTCTTGATGATCCGATAAATGGTTGATTTAGGTGCAATCTTACTAGCAGCAATATCCTTGCCTGTGAAGCCCTTTTTGTGCAAAGCAATGAAGACGGCACGTGTTTCCTTGCAGGTAACCATAGTTAACAGAGGAAGAACAATGATTTCAAGCACCACCCTCCTTTTAAAGCTTCCAGTCTGTTATTCTAACTCAATCAGCATGACAGAGTGATCTCCAGCCTTGTCCTCGTCAACACTCACCTGTGTTAACGAGAGAATCACTGACATGAAGGCAGCTGGTTCTTTTGTGCAGGGCTGAAATGCAGTTGAAAGGTTTTTGGGATTAAGTTCATTTTCATGGCAAAGAGGGACTGTGCAATTAATTGCAATTCATCTGATCACTCTTCATGACATTCTGGAGTATATGCAAATTGCCATCATCAAAACTGAGGCAGCAGACTTTGTGAAAATTAGGATTTGTGTCATTCTCAACTTTTGACCACGACTGTATAAGCTAATGATCCATCATATGACATTCCTGGGAGTGTGTAAACTTACATTTTGTGTTACCATTTCATTTTTGTATGTTCTCTAAAGTTATGTACTTAAATGTATCAATTGACCAATTTGGCACATTTGGGCAGACTTGATACAAAATAGTCCAGTATTGCAATGCTTCACTGGATCAATCAGAAACTTTGCACACACACTGCTGCCATCTAGTGGTCAAAATCTAAATTGCGCCTAAACTGCAATATTATATTGTGGCTTTTCTCTTGCATTTCAAAGATGATAAAAAAAAAAAGCACGCCTGTTTTTTTGTTTGTATTATCTTTTACCAGATCGAATGTGTTATATTATCCTACATTTAATTTCACAAGTTTTTATTTTCAAATGGTATCAAGAATATGCATATCCTTGCTTCAGGTCCTGAGCTACAGGCAGTTAGATTTGGGTAAGTCATTTTAGGCATAAATTGGAAAAAAGGGTCCTATCCTTAAGAGGTTAATACGTATCATATGAAATGGATTGTCTAGGATTTACGTACAGAATAATACGAAATGCTCTGAGACCACGTTGCAATGCATGAGATCAGCCCTAAGGTGCTAGCTAATCATTTCGTTAATAATAAAATGATTGCAGCTGTGTCATCTGCTACTAAATAATCCAGATCTTAACAAATGTTATTTGGCTAATATTTTTGGGGTTTATTTAGTAAACTTGTAGCTAGCTGAGCTTAGCAGAATAACAAGTGTGAATATTATAAACACTCAACTGTCGACTTTCCTAAATTGAATAGAACAATTATTTGTTTCATTCCTGTTTTAAGGGGGATACAATGGGGGCGTTTTTGGACAAGCCAAAGATGGAGAAGCACAATGCTCATGGTGAGGGGAACAGTCTGACCTATGGCCTGAGCAGCATGCAGGGCTGGAGGGTGGAGATGGAGGATGCGCACACTGCAGTCATTGGCCTGCCTCATGGGCTCGACCCTTGGTCCTTCTTTGCGGTCTATGATGGGCATGCTGGATCCCAGGTGGCTAAATACTGCTGTGGGCACCTTCTGGAGCACATCACCAGCAACCCAGACTTCCAGAGTGCTCTGGAGCCGGAACCCAACGTAGAGCGTGTGAAAAGCGGCATCCGCACAGGTTTCCTGCAGATTGACGAGCACATGCGGTCCATCTCTGAGAAGAAGCACGGTGTGGACCGCAGCGGCTCCACTGCGGTGGGGGTCATGATTTCCCCAGGCCACATCTACTTCATCAACTGTGGAGACTCCCGGGGTCTTCTAAGTCGTGGAGGAGCTGTGCACTTCTTCACACAGGACCACAAGCCCAGCAACCCACTGGAGAAGGAGAGGATCCAGAACGCAGGTGGCTCTGTCATGATCCAGCGAGTGAATGGCTCTCTGGCAGTGTCCCGGGCCCTGGGGGACTTTGACTACAAGTGTGTGCATGGAAAGGGCCCCACGGAGCAGCTGGTTTCACCAGAGCCTGAGGTGTATGCCATTCAAAGGTCTGAGGTGGAAGATGAGTTCATCGTCCTAGCCTGCGATGGCATCTGGGATGTCATGGCGAATGAAGAACTTTGTGACTTTGTCAGGTCCAGGCTAGAGGTGACCGATGACCTAGAGAGAGTCTGCAATGAAATAGTTGACACTTGCTTGTACAAGGTGAGATTTGTCACAACATTTTGTCACATGAATAGGCATCATTGGATGCCTTTTGCATTACTAGAATATGCTAATGCACATGCTAAATGTTTTACTTTAATTCTGTCTGTATTGCACTCACTCTTTGAACAGGGGAGTCGGGACAATATGAGTGTTGTGCTGATCTGCCTCCCAGGGGCTCCAAAGGTGACTGCAGAAGCCGTGAAAAGGGAAGCAGAGCTGGATAAGTACCTGGAGAGCAGAGTAGAAGGTGCAGCATCTTAAAATGCGTATAGAAACCTAGATAAAATAAGAACCTTGTCATGAATTTCATGTGATTGAAGCTCACATCACATATTGTGTATGTCATAGATTCTTTTCCACTCAGAGAATGTGTGGTTCTGCTAATTTCCACAGAGATCATAAAGAAGCAGGGAAACGAAGGGGTTCCAGACTTGGTCCACGTGATGCGTACGTTAGCATCGGAGAGCATCCCTAACCTCCCTCCTGGGGGAGAGCTGGCCAGCAAGTGAGTGAGCTCTTTTGACTGGATCTCAGCCAGAATGTTTAAAGGTCGATTAAGTACTATCAAAATAGAGTAGCATGCTTTTCACAGTAAGGTTTCTTTAGGGGGAGGAATCTATTTCTGATCTCAGGTGCACAGGCACTCATGACTTTCCACCAAAGTGGTTTGATAGCTTGGACTTGCTTGGAAGTTTGGTCTATTAGTTGGGCTAATTGAATTTTGCCCTTCAATTCCAGCCTTCTGTTTTCCCTCCTATGCTCAGCATTTAGCTCTGCTGTATGAACTGTTTTGTTTTCATTGGACTTACATACACTGCTCAAAAAAATAAAGGGAACACTTAAACAACACAATGTAACACAGAACAGCGCCGGAGAAGATGGCTGCTGTTTTACAGCCCTCTAACCAATTGTACTATTATGTGTGTTTTTCCGCGTTATTTGTAATTTATTTTGTACATAATGTTTCTGCCATCGTCTCTTATAACCAAAAAGAGCTTCTGGATATCAGGACAGCGATTACTCACCTCGTATTGGATTAAGATTTTTTCTTCAACGAGGCGGCCGCGAAGGATATCCTACAGACACCCGACAAGGCCCAAATCCCCGTCATTCGCATGATGAAGAGACGGATATATCGTGGACGTAGGTCGGGGTGCCTTGTAAGAATCCGACGGCGAGCGAGTAAACTGCCGCTCCCATCAATCCTATTAGCCAATCTTCAATCATTGGAAAATAAATTGGATGACCTAAGATTACGGTTATCCTACCAACGGGACATTAAAAACTGTAATATCTTATGTTTCACCGAGTCGTGGCTATACGCTACATCGGCAGGATAGAACGGCTGACTCCGGTAAGACAAGGGGTGGCGGTCTGTGTATATTTGTAAACAACAGCCGGTGCACAAAATCAAATACTAAGGAAGTCTCGAGGTTTTGCTCGCCTGAGGTAGAGTATCTTATGATAAGCTGTAGACCACACTATTTACCAAGAGAGTTTTCATCTATATTTTTCATAGCTGTCTATTTACCACCACAAACCAATGCTGGCATTAAGATTGCACTGAATGAGCTGTATAAGGCCATAAGTCAACAGGAAAACACTCATCCAGATGCAGCGCTCCTAGTGGCCAGGGACTTTAATGCAGGGAAACTTAAATCCGTTCTACCTAATTTTTACCAGCATGTTAAATGTGCAACCAGAGGAAAAAAAACTCTAGACCACCTTTACTCCACACACAGAGACGCATACAAAGCTCTCCCTTGCCCTCCATTTGGCAAATCTGACCATAACTCTATCCTCCTGATTCCTGCTTATAAGCTAAAACTAAAGCAGGAAGCACCAGTGACTCGGTTAATAAAAAAGTGGTCAGATGACGCAGATGCTAAGCTACAGGACTGTTTTGCTAGCACAGACTGGAACATGTTCCGGGATTCTTCAGATAGCATTGAGGAGTACACCACATCAGTCACTGGCTTCATCAATAAGTGCATCAATGATGTCGTCCCCACAGTGACCGTACGTACATACCCCAACCAGAAGCCATGGATTACAGGAAACATCCGCACTGAGCTAAAGGGTAGAGCTGCCGCTTTCAAGGAGCGGGACTCTAACCCGGACGCTTATAAGAAATCCTGCGATGCCCTCCGACGAACCATCAAACAGGCAAAGAGTCAATACAGGACTAAGATTGAATCGTACTACACTGGCTCTGACGCTCGTTGGATGTGGCAGGGCTTGACAACTATTACAGACTACAAAGGGAAGCACAGCCGCGAGCTGCCCAGTGACACAATACTTCCAGACGAGCTAAACCACTTCTATGCTCGCTTCGAGGCAAGCAACACTGAAGCATGCATGAGAGCACCAGCTGTTCCGGATGACTATGTGATCACGCTCTCCGTAGCCGATGTGAGTAAGACTTTTAAGCAGGTCAACATTCACAAGGCCGCAGGGCCAGACGGATTACCAGGACGTGTACTCCGAGCATGTGCTGACCAACTGGCAAGTGTCTTCACTGACATTTTCAACATGTCCCTGACTGAGTCTGTAATACCAACATGTTTCAAGCAGACCACCATAGTCCCCGTGCCCAAGGACTCTAAGATAACCTGCCTAAATGACTACCGACCCGTAGTACTGACGTCTGTAGCCATGAAGTGCTTTGAAAGGCTGGTCATGGCTCACATCAACACCATTATCCCAGAAACCCTAGACCCACTGCAATTTGCATACCGCCCCAACAGATCCACAGATGATGCAATCTCTATTGCACTCCACACTGCCCTTTCCCACCTGGACAAGAGGAACACCTACGTGAGAATGCTATTCATTGACTACAGCTCAGCATTCAACACCATAGTGCCCTCAAAGCTCATCACTAAGCTAAGGATCCTGGGACTAAACACCTCCCTCTGCAACTGGATCCTGGACTTCCTGACGGGCCGCCCCCAGGTGGTAAGGGTAGGTAACAACACATCTGCCACACTGATCCTTAACACGGGGGCCCCTCAGGGGTGCGTGCTCAGTCCCCTCCTGTACTCCCTGTTCACCCATGACTGCATGGCCAGGCACGACTCCAACACCATCATTAAGTTTGCCGACGACACAACAGTGGTAGGCCTGATCACTGACAACGATGAGACAGCCTATAGGGAGGAGGTCAGAGACCTGGCCGTGTGGTGCCAGGATAACAACCTCTCCCTCAACGTGACCAAGACAAAGGAGATGATTGTGGACTACAGGAAAAAAAAGAGGACTGAGCACGCCCCCATTCTCATCGACGGGGCTGTAGTGGAACAGGTTGAGAGCTTCAAGTTCCTTGGTGTCCCCATCACCAACGAACTATCATGGTCCAAACACACCAAGACAGTCGTGAAGAGGGCACGACAAAGCCTATTCCCCCTCAGGAGACTGAAAAGATTTGGCATGGGTCCTCAGATCCTCAAAAAATTCTACAGCTGCACCATCGAGAGCATCCTGACTGGTTGCATCACCGCCTGGTATGGCAACTGCTTGGCCTCCGACCGCAAGGCACTACAGAGGGTAGTGCGTACGGCCCAGTACATCACTGGAGCCAAGCTTCCTGCCATCCAGGACCTCTATACCAGGCAGTGTCAGAGGAAGGCCCTCAAAATTGTCAAAGACTCCAGCCACCCTAGTCATAGACTGTTCTCTCTGCTACCGCACGGCAAGCGGTACCGGAGTGCCAAGTCTAGGTCCAAAAGACTTCTCAACAGCTTCTACCCCCAAGCCATAAGACTACTGAACAGCTAATCATGGCTACCCGGACTATTTGCACTGCCCCCCCACCCCATCCTTTTACGCTGCTGCTACTCTGTTAATTATTTATGCATAGTCACTTTAACTCTACCCACATGTACATATTACTTCAACTACCTCAACTAGCCGGTGCACATTGACTCTGCACCGGTACCCCCCTTTGTATATATACCCTCCCTACTGTTATTTTATTTTACTTCTGCTCTTTTTTTCTCAACACTTACTTTTTTGTTAAAAAATAAATGCACTGTTGGTTAAGGGCTGTAAGTAAGCATTTCACTGTAATGTCTGCACCTGTTGTATTCGGCGCATGTGGCCAATAAAATTTGATTTGATTTGATTTGAACTCCAAGTCAATCACACTTCTGTGAAATCAAACTGTCCACTTAGGAAGCAACACTGATTGACAATACATTTCACATGCTGTTGTGCAAATGGAATAGACAACAGGTGGAAATTATAGGCAATTAGCAAGACACCCCCAATAAAGGACGGGTTTTGCAGGTGGTGACCACAGACCACTTCTCAGTTCCTATGCTTCCTGGCTGATGTTTTGGTCACTTTTGAATGCTGGCGGTGCTTTCACTCTAGTGGTAGCATGAGACGGAGTCTACAACCCACACAAGTGGCTCAGGTAATGCAGCTCATCCAGGATGGCACATCAATGCGAGCTCTGGCAAGAAGGTTTGCTGTGTCTGTCAGCGTAGTATCCAGAGCATGGAGGCGCTACCAGGAGACAGGCCAGTACATCAGGAGACATGGAGGAGGCCGTAGGAGGGCAACAACCCAGCAGCAGGACTGCTACCTCTGCCTTTGTGCAAGGAGGAGCAGGAGGAGCACTGCCAGAGCCCTGCAAAATGACCTCCAGCAGGCCACAAATGTGCATGTCTGCTCAAACGGTCAGAAACAGACTCCATGAGGGTGGTATGAGGGCCCGACGTCCACAGGTGTGTGTTGTGCTTACAGCCCAACACCGTGCAGGACGTTTGGCATTTGCCAGAGAACACCAAGATTGGCAAATTCTCCACTGGCGCCCTGTGCTCTTCACAGATGAAAGCAGGTTCACACTGAGCACATGTGACAGACGTGACAGAGTCTGGAGACGCCGTGGAGAACGTTCTGCTGCCTGCAACATCCTCCAGCATGACCGGTTTGGCGGTGGGTCAGTCATGGTGTGGGGTGGCATTTCTTTGGGGGGCCATGTGCTCACCAGAGGTAGCCTGACTGCCATTAGGTACCGAGATGAGATCCTCAGACCCCTTGTGAGACCATATGCTGGTGCGGTTGGCCCTGGGTTCCTCCTAATGCAAGACAATGCTAGACCTCATGTGGCTGGAGTGTGTCAGCAGTTCCTGCAAGAGGAAGGCATTGATGCTATGGACTGGCCCGCCCGTTCCCCAGACCTGAATCCAATTGAGCACATCTGGGACATCATGTCTCGCTCCATCCACCAACGCCACGTTGCACCACAGACTGTCCAGGAGTTGGCGGATGCTTTAGTCCAGGTCTGGGAGGAGATCCCTCAGGAGACCATCCGCCACCTCATCAGGAGCATGCCCAGGCGTTGTAGGGAGGTCATACAGGCACGTGGAGGCCACACACACTACTGAGTCTCATTTTGACTTGTTTTTTATGGACATTACATCAAAGTTGGATCAGCCTGTAGTGTGGTTTTCCACTTTAATTTTGAGGGTGACTCCAAATCCAGACCTCCATGTGTTGATACATTTGATTTCCATTGATAATTTTTGTGTGATTTTGTTGTCAGCACATTCAACTATGTAAAGAAAAAAGTATTTAATAAGATTATTTCATTCATTCAGATCTAGGATGTGTTATTTTAGTGTTCCCTTAATTTTTTTGAGCAGTGTACAATGGTTTTGTTATTGCTTGCCAAGCTAAACCTGCATGCTTGGTATCTTTTACTTTTTTGTTTCTTAGACGAAGCGTTATTGAAGCAGTGTACAACAAACTCAACCCATACCGAAGTGATGACACAGTACGTATCTCCTGACAATTGCTATCCCCTTACAAAAGCTTTTTTATTTGAATCTATATGTATGTTCAGTTGAAGTCGGAAGTTTACATAAACCTTAGCCAAATACATTTAAACTCATTTTTTCTCAATTCCTGACATTTAATCGTAGTAAAAATTCCCTGTCTTAGGTCAGTTAGGATCACCACTTTATTTTAAGAATGTGAAATGTCAGAATAATAGTAGAGAGAATGATTTATTTCAGCTTTTATTTATTTCATCACATTCCCAGTGGGTCAGAAGTTTACATACACTCAATTAGTATTTGGCAGCATTGCCTTTAAATTGTTTAACTTGGGTCAAATGTTTCGGGTAGCCTTCCACAAGCTTCCCACAATAAGTTGGGTGAATTTTGGCCCATTTCTCCTGACAGAGCTGGTGTAACTGAATCATGTTTGTAGGCCTCCTTGCTCGCACACGCTTTTTCAGTTCTGCCCACAAATGTTCTATAGGATTGAGGTCAGGGCTTTGTGATGGCCACTCCAATACCTTTACTTTGTTGTCCTTAAGCCATTTTGGCACAACTTTGGAAGTATGCTTGGGGTCATTGTCCATTTGGAAGACCCATTTGCGACCAAGCTTTAACTTCCTGACTGATGTCTTGAGATGTTGCTTCAATATATCCTAATTTTCCTTCCTCATGATGCCATCTATTTTGTGAAGTCCTCCTGCAGCATGATGCTGCCACCCCCGTGCTTCAAGGTTGGGATGGTGTTCTTCGGCTTGCAAGCTACCCCCTTTTTCCTCCAAACATAACGATGGTCATTATGGCCAAACAGTTCTATTTTTGTTTCATCAGACCAGAGGACATTTCTCCAAAAAGTACAATCTTTGTCCCCATGTGCTGTTGCAAACCGTAGTCTGGCTTTTTTATGGCGGTTTTGGAGCAGTGGCTTCTTCCTTGCTGAGCGGCCTTTCAGGTTATGTCGATATAGGACTCGTTTTACTGTGGATATAGATACTTTTGTACCTGTTTCCTCCAGCATCTTCACAAGGTCCTTTGCTGTTGTTCTGGGATTGATTTGCATCTCTATGAGACAGAACCTTGTCTCCTTCCTGAGAGGTATGACGGCTGCGTTGTCCCATGGTGTTTATACTTGCGTACTATTGTTTGTACAGATGAACGTGGTACCTTCAGGCGTTTGGAAATTGCTCCCAAGGATGAACCAGACTTGTGGAGGTCTACACATTTTTTGCTGAGGTCTTGGCTGATTTTCTTTTGATTTTCCCATGATGGCAAGCAAAGAGGCACTGAGTTTGAAGGTAGGCCTTGAAATACATCCACAGGTACACCTCCAATTGACTCAAATTATGTCAATTAGCTTATCTGAAGCTTCTAAAGCCATGCCATCATTTTCTGGAATTTATCAAGCTGTTTAAAGGCACAGTCAACTTAGTGTATGTAAACTTCTGACCCACTGGAATTGTGATGCAGTGAATTGTAAGTGAAATAATCTGTCTGAACAATTGTTGGAAAAACTACTGCATGCACAAAGTAGATGTCCTAACTTACTTGGTCAAACTATAGTTTGTTAACAAAAATTTGTGGAGTGGGTGAAAAACGAGTTTTAATGACTCCTACCTAAGTGTATGTAAACTTCCGACTTCAACTGTACGTACGTGTGTTTGTCAGTGTGTTTGTGCACATCTTTTTGTATGTCAAGGGAAAAATACAATTACATATTTTTCACTTCGATTTCTAACTTTCTTCAGCTCAATTTGGAATGTTCAACATATTTATAACTTTTTCGAATTTGGCCCCTCCAAAAAATCTGATTTTAAAGATGAATGAAGGGGAGGTAATATATGGATGGGGAATTTTTTTAAATATATATATATATATATATATATATATATATATATATATATATATATATATATATATATATAATCCTTGTTTGTAATCTATTTTACTCTTTACCATACCATAACATCCCAGAATGCATGTAGTTCTTCCCTCAGTTCACAGCTGTTTCATGATGGGTATAGTTTAGATCTGCGTTTACAAAAAGCAGCAATATTTTTCTTCTGTGTTTTTTATCTTTTTCTTTCTGCATGAAAAAACTCAGAATTCTGTTTTAACCCGGCCCCTTACTGGAGCTTTTGTTTGTGCCATCCTGAATTGGCGTTATAGACACTGTCAGTTAACACGTCTAGGCTGCGTATTCCACTAATTGGTCTTGACCAATCAGATCAGCTCTTTTGCCAATAATTGGGCAAAGGATCAGAATTGGGCTGCCTGTGTAAATTTACATTTTACATTTTAGTCATTTAGCAGACGCTCTTATCCAGAGCGACTTACAGTTAGTGAATACATATTTTTTTTATACTGGCCCCCCGTGGGAATCGAACCCACAACCCTGGCGTTGCAAACGCCATGCTCTATCAACTGAGCTACATCCCTGCCGGCCATTCCCTCCCCTACCCTGGACGACGCTGGGCCAATTGTGCGCCGCCCATGAGTCTCCCGGTCGCGGCCGGCGGCGACAGAGCCTGGATTCAAACCAGGATCTCTAGTGGCACAGTTAGCACTGCGATGCAGTGCCTTAGACCAATGCAGCCTATGTGTTGCCCATAGGTAACGTCTCTGTTTGATGGCCAAAGATGCTTTCAGATCTATGTGGGCAGGATTGTAGTAGCAGTGATAGCTGGCAGGGCAATCTAACTCGGGGTGCAATTGTTTGATATCAATCTTGTGTACTTGCTCTCTGAAGTTCCATTAATAGGGCTAACATTCAAGATTCCTCAAACAGGAGGATCTCACAAATGGTTTAATAAGCAATATATTCATTGAAGCAATCATTCATAACAACCATTCATAAAGCCGTCATTCATTATCCAGTCATTCATATCAAAACATTTTCTTGACGACTACTCGCTCCTACAACTTGTCGTGAGTGAGATGTTCTATTCAAACTAACCATAAATAAAATGCGTGTCCCTATATACATTTCTCTGGATTAGGAACAGCATAATCTTTCTTTGATCAGTATCAAATTACCTTGTTTCAGCATCACTATCAAATGGCAAATATCAAGTAAAATCAGCTTATTTTACAGTCCAGTACCGGATGAAATTCCAGGACTGGAAGAAATGTAGGTAAAAGTGAAGACTTCAAGAAATTGCTGTTTTATACCAGGGATCTCAATCTCAATTCCCGGAAGGCTTTGCTCACTTATACATACTCAAAATAATTTCTTGAGTCCTGTCCAAGTTCGTAACTAGTGTAGGACAACAGGGGTGCAAAGATCAGCACTTCTCCAGGAGTTGAAATCGAGACCCCTTGGATGTTGACCTAGTATCTGACGGGTTTTTCCTTCCTTCCATCCTTCAAGGACTCAGCGTCCACAGACGACATGTGGTAACACAACCCCTACCACTAACACAGCACAGAGTTTACAAACCGTTACCCTCTCAAGACCCCACAGCAGCTCTGTTCAGCAGTCTGTCTCCCCACCACTCTGAGCGTTCCATTGTCAAGAAGGGAATATGATGGGAGGAGGAGGAGGAGATGCTCACACACCCCTACACCCCAGATAGAGCAGCACCAGTCAGCTCTGGAGTTCAGGATCCCCTCCATTTTGTCTCACCTTTATTTTCACCCCCCCCCCCTTAACCTAAAACATAACTACCGAGTCCAACAGGTTCTTTTTTTTTTTTTTAATAATCAGCTAAAACAATTATTATTTTGGGCTGTAGTTAATTTGATTCACATTTCCTTGTGTTTGTATATTTCTGTTTTTGTGAAGTGCAATTGTCCTGTACAAACAGCCTCTATTTAATGCAGCTTGAGTTAATGTAAAAAAATGAAAGAACCTTTATGCACTATCAGCCTTTTTCCTGCTCTTCTGGAGTTCCAACAAATGTCTATTCAGTGAATATTACTGTTTGTCCTCCAGGTGATATTATCCTCTTGCTCTTGATCTTTTTTTAGTTGAAGTCTTTGCTCCTTAAGAAACGGGTAAATTGTATAGGTTCACAGCACAGTAAGCTCTCTAAATTAAACCATATAAATTCTAATATCTACATTTTATTTTGTTTTCATACACTTTTTTTCTACATGCTGTAGTAATAACTATGGTACTACAGTCTTTCATTGTGTTTTCTGTCTTTTGGGGGAAATTATCTTGTTCATCTCCTGTAAACATAACACAACAAAGCAGTTCCTAGATGCAAATGAAGATGAGCTCACCTGACACCTTTTAACACTTGCTGTGTTGGAGAGAGTGTGTGTGCGCGTGTGTGTGCGTGTACTGGCAAGCGTGCCTAGGTGCTTGTGTGCATGTGTGTGCGCACATGTGTTTGAATAGAGGTAGGTCTGTATATCTGTAGCTGTTAGCTAATGTTTGCTATGGTGGTGCAGATGGCAAACTCACATCGGCTGGAGATTAGGGCAAATGTTCCTCCATTACTCCTACATACCTATTGGTCACCCCATCAGTCTTTCATATCAGTACGATACAACCTCTCACTACCCCTCACTTCAGAGCTTTGGAGAACACTGTTTATGACAGTGGATGGATTAAGTTGATTTATTGCTATTTTAACTTTAATGACATCTGCCACAACCAGTTTGTAATTATTTGTCAGTGACATAGTTAACCTGTCTACTGACATGCAGTAATTTATGCTAGTCTGAACTTTGACTAGTTTTCATGTCATGAGTGTTAGATTATTTACTTTGAATAAACGTAATATGTCACAGATGTACATATTTCAGCTTTATGAAGGCCCGGCATGCCAAGTGAAGAGATTCAGTGCATTGTATTTGTTGCAAGCCTGCGTTTGGTACTGAGAGGAGTTCAAATCACAACATCTATCTGATAATCTGATTTTACAAGTGTAGAAGTGCTAATTGTTAGAAACCTTAGTTACCACCATCAGTCTGAGTGAACCTTCCCTTAACAATTTCCAAGTGTTTTTTTTTTTTTAATTGTTGCTATATTCAACTATACAACCAAGAACAAATCCACTGAATGCAATGAGCTGTCCTAGAGCATCTTGTATTTACTCTGAGTCGGTTGGGGGGCTCTCAGTGTAGAGTCCTCAGCCACTGCACCAGGAGCCAGTGCACAATATGCTATGCTGCTATAGTGTATGATTTGATTTTGCGGTAAATTTTTCCCTTAAAAAAATCAAATCAATAGTCACAGACTAAATCTGTATTTAACACGTAGATGTATTTCTTGGCGAGAAATGTATTTATTTTAAACTGCATTGCTGCAAATGTATGTATCTTTTCTGACCTTTTCAAGGAATAAATCATGTTACTTGAGTTAGATGCGCGCTTAGCAAGATACTCTTGTTTTTGGATGTTTAATCAATTAGAATTGAGCGCTGTAGGTAAAGGTGTCCTTCTAATCCCATTGGGCTCTGCTCTGTACTGTTTGTCTAACACAGGTTTTCCCGAACTCTGTCCTGGTACCCCCGATGCACGTTTAGTTTTTTCCCCCTAGAACTACACAGCTGATTCAAATAATCAAAGCTTGATGACGAGTTTATTATTTAATTTTTTATCAGCTGCGTAGTGCTAGGGCAAAAAACAAAACGTGCACCCGGGGGACCCAGGACTGAGTTTGGGAAACACTGGTCTAACACAGGGTAACGTACTGAATTTATAGTGTCTCTCTTTAACCAACTTCTGGCAAAAATCTACCACGTTGACTCCTGAATTTGATCCCAAGATATACACAGTTTAGAGATGGTTTGATATGTCACCCTTGTTATAGTATTTTATCCATACCTGCAGTTGTTTAGAAACGATACGAAGTACGTCTCAGATTAACTCTTAAAATATATATATAGAAATATATATATGTATTTTATTTTTTTACTTGCCATATGGACAGTTGATGCAGCCTTAAAAGGCTGACATGTCAATCATACTTACACTTTTTGTTAAAGGGTGAACAAGTCTAACAATGCCTTCATAATTATTACAGAGCATTTGCAAACTTTTTTTAAAGCAATGAAGTGACTGATGAATGAATCAGATGAAGTGAAGTGATTATGTAGGCATTGTTGAGATTCAATATTCCCATTCAGTTCAACTGTCACAGGTACCCAAGTCACTTTTCCAAATTGAGAAAGAAATGTGGTTAAATTGGTCAATGTTAAAGTTGTTGTCATTCTCTACTGTGATTTTGTGTAAAGGGAACCAAGTTTTAGGAGCACAAAGCGGCGTCAACAACCATAACACACAAGCCCTAGCTTTTTTAACGTCTGAATAGTTGTTTAGGATCTTCCCTTAAGGAGTGCAAACATTCTGTTACTCTGTTGTCCTTTATAAGCTAAAGTATTTTCTACAGAAATACTACAGTATGTATATAATTTTTTCATTTACAAATGATGTAACCAAGGAAAATCTGTCTTAACCTATTTTGCAGGTTTATTGTTTTACTGTCAATGTTTTTTTTATAAGACTGGAAATAAATACATTTTTATTTCCAAAATGTCATTACTTTAATCTTTAGGTTAGCCAAACATTTTTCTGTCATCTGTACAACTCAACACTGATTTTGTTTAAGGAGTTTGGGATTTAAGGTTAGCGTTCTGTTAACACACCAGTTTTAATACGGGCTTCTCGCATACTGTAGGACTTGCATAGTGACTGAGGTGTTTAGAGATGACGCCTTACATGAACCTGTCATATAATTATTATTTAAGCCTCATAAGGAACATATGTATATTCCTCTATAGGGGCCGTATCTTGATATCTCCATATGCCATGTTTGAACCTTTGTGTAAATCTTACTCCACTTCTGATTTTAAAATAGGATATGGCTCCAAAAGAATGCTGGTTTAGGATGCGTTTGTGCTTTTTATCAAAATTTGACTGGTACCATATAAGCCGGACCTAAAGTAGAAATGAAATTGTCTTTGTTCAAAAGCATAGCACTTACCAAGCATCCAATGTCTTCTTTTTCTTATTTCCATAAAACTACAATACCTCAAAGTTGATTTGAAGACCTTTTTGTCTAGTATTGGTTGTTGTTCTAGACCCCCTCTCTGTAGTTTGGCTTTGAAAGCAGTCATCAGACACTTGGTTGTTGTGACTGTCAGTCTGTGGTCTTGTTAAGACTCAGTTGTCATGGAGTTGGCCAAACCCATGTTTATGTATTTGACTGAAATGTGCAAATTTGAAATATTTAAAATGTGTCCACAGCAAATTATAGCTTATTTTAGTAACTAGTCAAATCATTGACCTTACCTTGTACAAAAAAAGAATGCCCTCAAACCCTTACTTGTGTAATTTCACCAACTTATTTCCCTTATGTGATATTCAACCATTTCAGAGATCTAGAATTGTAACAATGTTCAGGGTTCTAGAAATGTAAGATGTGTGAGAGGCATTTGGTGTAATTAAATGACAATGGTCAATTATGCACTGATTGTCTATATTATCAGCTTTTTCACAAATATTATTCTAGAAAAAAACTATAAAGCTATTTACAGGGTGTACCTTTGCTCACCTGGAGCTAGTTCTGTATCTTCATACAGTTCAGAGGTATACCTAGCTGGAGTAAAATAGATTTTAATGCTTGCGCCCATATTGTACATAATATTGATGTACCTCAGTTGTGGTGTTACTGTGTGACCCTTTGGCAGTGGTGGGTTGTGTCCCCTTAAATAGGGGACCTGAACCCCATGTTGCTGACCTTTTCAGCTCACTAATAAGCTCACCGATTTGCCTTACCCAATCTAACTCTACCCCCTAAAGTACTTGTTCATCGGAACACTTCAAGGAGTAGTGCTGACACTACCTTGTAACTGAGAAATTTCAAATAGTGTTTCCAAGTTAGGGTACTTGTCTACAAAGTGGCATACTATGTTGGTAGTCACATGGTACACCTTTTCATTTCTGGTTTGTATTAAAAACAAATGTTACCTTGTTGAATCTTTGAAATATTATTTAATTGCTCACTCCTGCAGATGATGTCATACTTTGAGCAAATGCAAGTGTTTAACAATTGGGTAACCTTGTAAACATTAGAAATGTGTTCCATGTTCTGCTATATTTATGAATGCATTCAAGAATAGCTTTAGAGTGCTGTAGATAAGTATTGTCTGTTGATTCAACTGCTTCTCAGAGGCCTCTGTGATTGACTACAAAGTTCAATGACTGTATATTTTGTATTATGTTCTAGCTCCAAAGGAAAGACAAAATAAAATGTTAAAGCTTTGTTCCCTGAACTATACTGTACTATTTGTGTTGAGTTGATTGAACAAAATGCATTCCTTGCTTGTGAATTTATGCATTTTCTCTCCTCTTTCCCTGAACTTCTGTCCTTCTTTCTTTCATTTGTTTGCCTTTTGAAGTTTGAAATAAAATGTATAGTTTGCAGAATGTATCACTAAATAAATGGGTTGTTATCTTCTATAGCTATTCTCATTTCATCTCTCTTGATCTGTTCAATTAATTGTCCCATTTTAAAACAACTAATCTAGAACTCAATGTCAGACCTGATCGATTCCTTCATAAAATACCAATGTTTTCATTAACACAATATACTGTAAGACCCACCAACACACAAAGTACTGATTTTATTGTTTTGTTGATCCAGAAATGTGCAAATACAGTGCCTTCGGAAAGTATTCAGACCCCTTGACTTTTTCTACATTTTGTTACGTTACAGCCTTATTCTAAAATCGATTAAATAAAAATAATTCCTCAGCAATCTACACACAATACCCCATAATGACAAAGCGAATACAGGTTTTTAGAAAATTTTGAAAATGTATTCAAAAAAAAAAAAAAAAACT